TAAAAAGAGGAACCCTAGAGGTAGAAGGTAAATTGTTGTGGGATAGTAGGTGAAAAGAAGGAAATTTTAAAAGACTGGGAATCATGGAAGTCAACACTGGGCACTATTTTTACAATTTTGTCATCACCTTGTCAGCCTGTCCTCAAAATGACTCCTTTATATTCTTGTATTTAAACTGAAGGACAACAATAAAAATCAATGAGGATGCATGTAAAATTGATGGACCAATTAAGCCTACTAAATTTTACAGAGAGTGCAAGGCTTGTTGTATTGCTTTTCTCCTCTCTTCCTGCTCTTCAATCTTTTGAGTCCACAGTTAGCTGACTTTAATCTTCAGTGGGCATAATGAAAGATAAAGATATCACAGCACCATAAATAATTATATTTGAAGATAGCAGGAAATAAAACTTCATTTTTAATCCAAAATTTTTTTTATTTCCATAGTGCTTGAAAACAATATAGTTCTGATGTAACATAACATATATTAACTTGTGGTATTTAGAGATGCAGGTAAGGCTTTTACATGAAATTCATAGGTAATTTATAATAAAAAATACAAAGTCTGCCTTTCCCTCTGCCCATATTCTCTATTCACCTATTCTGCTTTGCTTTTTAATCAGAGTACTTCTCCTCTTCTAACCCGTTCCATATTTACTACTATATTTGTTTATCTGTCTCTCTCCAATGGGATATATACATTTCCTAAGGGCAAGTACTTGGTCTGCTTCCTTCATTACTGTATCCTCAAGTTCTAGAACAGTGCTTGAATCATAATAGGTTCACTAAATATTTGGAAAATGAGTACTCTACATGTCATTTCAACTTTTTGGTTTTAACTAATCCTGTCAGAGCAGCTAGAATACAGCCAAACTAGGTGGTTCAGATTCCCAATCTTCATCCTATAGCTGTGTACCAAATTCTGACTGAGGTTCTATATAGTGGTATAAATGAATAATGAATAGGCTGTGGGAGAAAGAAGTTAATATACTAAGCCAAAAACTAGATAACTGATTTTAAATTATTTAAAATTCAATTATATTTTATAACTGGAAGATATTACACTATCACTTCCTATTTGTTTTTATAAGTTGTGGTTTTTGATAGTCAGATTTTTAATAGAAGCAATTTCTAATATCTACCTATTTTCAAGTTTGTTCTTTTCAATAGATATAGACTTGATTCATAATCATATTAGCATCTTACCTGTCTATGTTCTTTGCTGATTTATTTTTAGATAAAAAACTGTTTTTCATGATGTATAAATTTTAATAAAAAATTTGAGATCTCTAAAAGGTAATTGATATGTTAAATCCTCTTCGTTAACTAAAAACAACTCAGTCTTTGAAAAATAAAGTCTTTTTTTTTCATTTCAAGGGATGGAGAGAGGAAGAGTATGAGCGTTGAGAGGTAATGTTTTATTTATTAATTATTGTTAATTGTGCATAATTCATCTTATTTTAAACTAATATTGAATTAATTTTTAGTAAATATCACTGAAATAAGAAATCTATTTGCAAATTACTATAACAATTTTTAGTAGTTTACACTCCCTGCAGTAAATGCCTTGGTATAAGACTATTATTTTCAGTTGCTATAATCTCAGAAATTAACTTCAGCTATTTTTTAATGTTGGTTTTAATCCTACCTAGTGAAAACCAAGCATTTTAGAATTTCATATCTTAATTTCTAGCTTGTTTATAAGGACAATTGAGTATTTACTTCAGAAATTTAAGAAGTAACAATTGGAATTCTTCCTAAAATTATTTCAATATTGGTGATTAAGCGGAAGCTTAAACAGTAAAATATTACTGATGAAAGAGAGCTTAAAGATGATCTAGTTTAGTGGTTTACAATCTTGTTTGAAAACCAAACGAAATAATGATGGAAACTTACTGTTTGGGGAAATAAGTCATTGTTTGAAACGTCCTTCAATTATCTCCTCAAAGCAGCAAGGTTCCACTGAGACATTTAAGAAACACTGCCCTAGGGCCCGGCAAGGTGGCTCACACCTGTAATCCCAGCACTTTGGGAGGCTGAGGTGGGCAGATCACTTGAGGCCAGGAGTTCTAGATGAGCCTGGCCAACATGGCAAAACCCTGTCTCTACTAAAAATACAAAAATCAGCCCGGCATGGTGGCTTACACCTTTAATGTCAGCTACTTGGGTGGCTGAGGCAAGAGAATTGCTTGAACCCGGGAGGCGGAGTTTGCAGTAAGCTGAGATGGCACCACTCCACTGCAGCCTGGGCGACAGAGTAAGACTCTGTTTCAAAATCAAAACAAGACAAAACAAAACACTGACCTAGTACAAGGTTGTGTTCATATTCCACATATGTTATTTGTGGTCAGAAAAGCTGAATAACTTTTACAGGACAGCATAATAAATGGCTTTGATAAAAATTGCTATTTTAGGTTTTGGTCCATATGAAAGCAAGCAAAGAGAGATTTAAAAAAAAGCATCCAAAAGCAAAATAGTATTGCCCTATTTGATACATTTCTCTGCCATTTTCTCTGTTATTGGGAGCACTATTTGATGTACAGGAATGTGTTCTCCACTTTTTTTTTTCTGGAAACTGTCTCCTCTTGGCTTTTTAAAATGGGCAGTATAACATCAAATTTGGTATGAAGTTGGGGGAAAGGAGGTTGCAGTTTATATCACAAACTAACTTCTCTAATACAGAAGGAACTCTTATAATCAATAAAAAAAGGGACAGTAAGCCAACAGAAAAAAATGAACAAAGGTCTAATTAATTAACAGAAAAGGAAATACAAATGGCTCTTAAAACAAGTGAAAATATTACCATTTTCATTTATAATTAAAGAAATACAGATTGAAAGTTCTCTCAGATACCTTTCTTTCACTAATCAGGTTGGCAAAGATTCTAACATACTCTGTTGGCAAAACTGTAGGAATGAAAATGTGTAAACTTTAGAGGGAGTGCATTAGGTTTTTTTTATTGCTATTAAAACAAGTTTCTACAAATTTAGTGGCTTAAAACAACACAGATTTATTCTCTATCATTCTGAAAGTGGTTCTAAAGTTAATGTATTGGTAGAGCTCCATTTCTTCTAGAAGCTCTGGGAGAGAGTCCATTTCTTTATGAAAAGGTTCTAGAGGCCATAGAAGCTTTGGCTCATAGCCTCAGCAACTTCTTTCTCTGACTGTAACCCTCCTGCCTCCTTCTTATAAGGACCCTTGGGATTACATTGGGCAAAGCTGAACATTCCAGAATAATCCTCAGTCAGAATTTAATCACATCTACTAAGTCCCTTTTGTCATATAAGATACTAGGTTCACAGATTTCAGGGATTAGGATGTGGACATTTTTAGGGACCATTATCTAGCCTACCACAGGGGGTAAGAAATTTGATAATATGTGTCAAAATCACAGATACATGTACTTTGATGCCATAATTCTTTTATTAAGAATTAATTCCAGATATGTAGTCACATGTCATTTTACATATATACAGGGTTACTTATTGCATTTTTTATGATAGAAAAAAACTGTAATATCCATGAATAGAGAATTGGTTAAATTACCTTACATCATTAAATTAGAATATTATGCTGCTATATAAAAATGAGGAAATCATTTACTCATGGGGAACTCTCACCATGATAAATTGAGAAAAGCAGAGTATTAAACAATGTATCTAAAATTCTACTGTTTATGTAAAACATGAGAGGAAAATGTCTAATGGTTTGCTTATTTTATATATATATATATATATACTTGGAATATTTCTTTTTTTTTTTTTTTGAGACGGAGTCTCTGTTGCCCAGGCTGGAGTGCAGTGGCATGATCTTAGCTCACTGCAAGCTCCGCCTCCCGGGTTCTCGCCCTTCTCCTGCCTCAGCCTCCCGAGTAGCTGGGACTACAGGCGCCCGTATACGTGGAATATTTCTAAGGAATTCATAAGCATAAGAAGCTGACACATTGGTTGCCACTAGGAAAGAGAACTGAGTAGCTGAGGTTAAGGTTAGAAGTAGAAAGGGGACTCTTTACTGAAGAGTTACTTGCTCAGGGTCCATACTCATCATTCTGGTCTCTTTGTATTATCCTCTTTTATGTTAATATCACTTGTCAACTTATTTCAACACTCTTTTGTAGATGAATTCAAAATACCTACATTTAGTCTTATCAGCCTTCTATTTTCAGCTGTCTATTAAACAACTCTGCCTAGGTTCCATGAGCCAACCCCTTAAATCTACTTAAAGGTGTTTCTCATCCAGAAAATCCATGTACAGTAATTGGAATGATGTTCTCATTTGGACTTTCTTAACATAATCCTCTGTAACAAAGTCTATATATACATATACCCTAATCTGTTTTAAGTTCTGGAGGCATTACCATTATCTGTTGGTAATTTTAATTATCTTTTTTGTGATATAATAGAGCAACAGCATAAAATTGTTTCTTTGCTACTCAAGCTTTCCTGTTTAAGTGGGTTTCCATTATTTATATAGATCTTAGTTAATTAAATTTTAGTTCATTTGAAAACTTTATTTTGTACTGCAGAAAATATAACTTCATGCTAGCCATATAAACATGCATACCATTTCCAAATTATCCTGGATTATAGTTTACTTTGTGCACCAAAATTATTCTTATCTTTCTAGGACATTCAGTGAGATAAATAAAGCGGAAGAACAATACAGCCTATGTGAAGAACTTTGCAGTGAACTTGCTCGAGATCTACAGAAAGAAGGACTTAAGGTGCTTTATTTTGATATGGTGTCCTTAGTTTTTAAGTTTTTTAATAATAAAATGCTACCTTAAAGCTAGAGTTAGATTACACATTATTCTTAAAGGTGAATACAAATTAATAAACGTCAGAATAGTGCAGTCCTATCACCAACAGTCAGATACAAATCCAATTCTGACCTATATCTGGAGTCTGTGATGAGGTGATTCTATGAAGAAGCAACTTGTGAGGATAGTGTGGTTCAGTATAATTCAGAGGACTTTACTTCTGTACCTCGGGAGTACATTTGAATAAGTTAAAACCAGAGTTACACTGGCATTAGAGAATAAGGCAGAAGAAAGAATTTGCAGAGAATTGTATTCACATATTACAAATGTCTTTCCAATCATCCTTTAATGTTTTTCTTACTTAGACAATGACTTTCTAAAATAGCCATTTTGTTTCAAGCTTGTAATCCAGGTTGCTTAACACAGGACAACAAAACCTATAAGACTTTGAACTTGCTATTTTATAATCTTCACTCACAACAATTTATATTTAGAGTATTCCCAACACTCTCAAACCAGAGGCAGAATCAGTACAAAGCATAATAAAAAGGTATTTTAAAATTGCTACACAGGTACAAATATCTGGTTTGATAGAAGAAATGAGACCTAGTGTTCAATAGATCAGTAAAGTGATTATAGTGTACAGTAATCTATTTTACATATCAGAATAGCTAGAAGAGAACAATTTGCATGTTTCTAGCATAAAGAAAATGCAAATATTTAAGGTAGTAGATATCCCAAGTACACTTATTTGATCTTTACAAAGATCAAAACTATGAGGTACATGTGATAACTTACTATGTTCATATAATGCATCAGTAAAACTATTACACTAATCAGTGAAAAATTTGTTTTAAAAAAATTAGTACCAAGAGTGGGATATCTTATGAGTATTTTTCTCATAGTCCTTCTCTATCATACCTTGAGTTTAAATAATTTTCTTTTTAAAAAATGTTTAATAAACATGTAATTTTATGATCATTTTAGGTTTCCAGAAAAGTCACAAAAATAATAGAATTTCAGCATACTCCTCACCTGGTTTCCTCCATTATTAACATATTACCAGAGTACATTTGTCAAAAGTAAGAAACTGATATTTCATTCATTGCCAATTATTAAGTCAACCCTAGACTTTATTTGGAGTTTACTAATTTTTCCATTAATATCCTCCCTGCCTTCTAGAGTTCAATCCAGGGGACTACATTGCATTTAGCTGACATGTCTCTCCGGTTTCCTGGTCTGTGATAGTTTCTTAGTTTTTCCTTCTTTTTCATGACCTCGACAATCTTGGGTATTACTATACAGGTATTCTGCAGAATGTCGCCCAATCTGGGTTTGTCTGATGATTTTCTCATAATTAGATCAGGGTTATGGATTTTTAGAAAGAATATCACAAAGAGGAAGTGCCCTTCTCATAACATCCTATCATGGGGTATATAATAGCCACATGATGTCATGGATGATATTAACTTTCCTTACTTGGTTACTGTTTGCTAGGCTTCTCCACTGTGAAGTTAGTGTTTTTCCCTTTGGAAGTAAGTCAGTAAATCTAATCTACCCTGAGATGAGAGAGAGCAGGAATTAACTTCCTCCTCCAGGGGATACTAAAATATACATAACATAAAATTTACCATTTTAACCATTTTTAAAGTGTACAGTTCATACTGTTTTATAACCATCACCACCACCCATCTCTAGAACTGTTTCATTGTCTCCACTGAAACCCTGCACTCATAAAACACTTAACTGTAAAAGGAATTCTTACATTTAAATTGTTTGGCATAGCATCTGACAATGCAGAAGGCACACAATAAGTGTGAGCTATTCATAAGTCCTTTTCAGTGAGACACTTTTAGAAATATTTTTTTCCTTCCTTTGTAGATAATGAATCAACCTCCAAAAGAGATTCAGTAAAAGTAAAAGTGATCATTTAACCTTTCCCTTAACGTAATGGCCTTTCATAAAAATTCAGTTGTGGGGCCAGGCACAGTGGCTTATTCCTGTAATCCCAGCTTTTTGGGAGGCTGAGGTTGGTGGATCACCTGAGGTCAGGAGTTTGAGATCAGCCTGGCCAACATGGTGAAACCCCATCCCTACTAAAAATGGTGGCGGGCACCTGTAATCCCAGCTACTCTGGAGGCTGAGGCAGGAGAACCATTGGAACCTGGAAGGCAGAGGCTGCAGTGAGCCGAGATCCCGCCACTGCACTCCAGCCTGGGCAACAGAGTGAGACTCTGTCTAAAACAAAAAACAAACAAAAAAATTCAGTTGGGAAGGGGAATAATGATTACTGGCTAAAATGGGATTTTAGGTCAGGCATAGTGGCTCATGGCTGTAATCTCAGCACATTAGGAAGCTGAGGCAAGAGATTGCTTGAGCCCACGAGTTCAAGACCAGCCTGGACAACCCAGTGAAATCACGTCTCTACAAAAAAAATTTTAAAATTATCTGGACATGGTGGCATGAGTGTGTAGTCCCAGCTACTTGGGAGGCTGAGGCAGGAGGATAACATGAGCCTGGGAGGTCGAAGCTGCAATGAGCCATGATCACGCCACTGTACTCCAGCCTGGGCAATAGAGCGAGACCCCCATCTCAAAAACAAAATAAAATGGGATTTCAGCTTGTGTTTGGAAAGGGGAGTAAAAGTTTTTGGCTAAAATGGTATTTTAATTTTTTTTGTTTGTTTGTTTTTTGAGGTGGAGTCTTGCCCTGTCACCCAGGCTGGAGTGCAATGGTATGATCTCGGCTCAGTGCAACCTCCGCCTCCCAGCTTCAAACTGTTCTCCTGCCTCAGTCTCCCCAGTCACTGGGATTAAAGGCGCCTGCCGTCATGCCCAGCTAATTTTTGTATTTTTAGTAGAGACAGGGTTTCACCATATTGGCCAGGCTAGTCTTGAACTCCTGACCTCGTGATCCGCCCGCCTCGGCCTCCCAAAGTGCTGGGATTACAGGCGCGAGCCACCACGCCCGGCCTCTTATTCTTTGTGGTATTTTTATCACCATGTTTTATAAATAATTGGTTATACTTCCATAATCTTATGTCCATAAACCTTTCTGAATTTTTCTAACATGTAAATGACTTTTTTCTAGAAGTTAGGAAGTCATACAGAATAATGTATTCTGGTGGGTGCAGTAGCTCATGCCTATAATTGCAACACTTTGCAAGGCCAGGATCGCTTGAGGCCAGGAATTTGAGACTAGCCTAGGTAACGTAGTGAGACTCCATCTCTACAAAAAATAAAAAATTAGCTGGTGTAGTGACATGCACTTGTAATCTTAGCTACTCAGGAGGCTAGGCTGAGGCAAGAGGATCACTTGAGCCCAGAAGTTGAAGGCTGCAGTGAGCTACAGCTGTGCCAGCGCACTCCAGCGTGGACAACAGAGAGAGACTCTGTCTCATAAATAAATAAATAACATATTGTATATGTTATAGGGTAGAACTGTTACCATTAAGTTGAAGAATGTGAATTTTGAAGTAAAAACTCGTGCATCTACAGTTTCATCTGTTGTTTCTACTGCAGAAGAAATATTTGCCATTGCTAAGGAATTGCTAAAAACAGAAATTGATGCTGATTTTCCGCATCCCTTGAGATTAAGACTTATGGGTATGACTTTTTTATTTTTTTGTTTTTCCTTAAATCTGCTAGGTTTTCCTAAATAATTCACTTTGGGAATACAGGGGGCCCCCAACTTAACAATGGTTCAACTTAATGATTTTTCAACTTTGCGATAGTGGGAAAGTTGTATGCTTTCAGTACACTTTTGACTTACAGTGCGGTTACATCCTGATAAACCTGTCATAAATTGAAAGTATTGTAAGTTGACTTATTATGTTTTCAATTTACAGTGGGTTTATCTGGATACAATCCTATTGTAAGTCAATGAGCACCTGTATTCTCGCCTTCATTTTATTTCTTAAATCTGTTTAGGAAGTTCTTCCTTTGCTGCTGCCATTTATCTTAATTATTAGACCCTGATGTGTGAAGCCATGATCATTAGTTTAATTCCAGTAAGAGCCAATTAAAGTTGTTCTTTTCCTCATAACTTAATGAAATTCTTGTGGCCAGGTATCTTTCAAAATTCAAAACTTTTCAGATTTTGGAAAGCAAATTCAGTGCATGTAGAGTATATTATGTTGTAATACTTCTTTGTGGATCTGGGGCAACACCCCCTATTCAAACATATTAATATTTCTATAGCAAAACAAAATATTCAGAGACTGTAAAGACTGATGACTTTAATTTAGTCATCGAGTATCACTTGTTGCTTACAATTTTCAGAACTTTTTGGATTTTGGAATTACAGATAAAGGATTGTGACATTGTGAAATCACATCTCCAAGCCATTACATGGTAAAAACTAACAAGCCATGTTTCCAAAGTGAACTGGTTGAAAGTATGTATATGGATCAGCACTCCAAATGCACATTTTACTAGTAAGGAGTGGGTCACTAGCCATACTTTCATTTATGAAGGATATAGCACACACTGAAATCTACTGAATAAAGTGTTAATTAAAAGAGCCAGGCCAGGCGTGGTGTCTCACACCTGTAATCCCAACACTTTGGGAGGCCAAGGCAGGTGGATCGCCTGAGGTCAGGAGTTTGAGACCAGCCTGGCCAACATAGTGAAACCCCATCTCTACTAAAACTACAAAAAATTAGCTGGACACGGTGGTGGGCACCTGTAATCCCAGCTGCTCGAGAGGCAGAGGCAGGAGAATCGCTTGAACCTGGGAAGTGGAGGTTGCAGTGAGCTGAGATCACACCATTGCACTCCAGCCTGGGCAACAAGAGTGAAACTCTACCTCAAAAAAAAAAAAAAGCCAAGAGCAGATATCTATAGAAGCTTAATTCATAATTGCCAAAACTTTGAAACAAGCAAAATGTCCTTGGTACATGAATGGATAAATAAACTGTGGTACGTACAGACAGTGGAATAATATTCAGCACAGAAAAGAAGTGAATTATCAATTCATGAAAAGACATGAATGAAACTTAACTGCATAATGTTAAGTAAAAGAAGCCAATCTGAAAAAACTAAATACTGTATGATTCCAACCATATGAGATTCTGGAAAAGGCAAACATGAGTACCATAAAAAATAATTGATTGTCAGGAGTTAAGAGGAGAAGAAGGGATGAATAGGCAAAAACACAGGAATTTTAGGGCAATGAAATGATTCTGTATGATTCTATAATGACACGTCATTATAAATTTATCCAGGCACACAGAATGTATTCCAAGGGTGAACCCTATGTAAGCTATGGACTTTGAGTGACAATGTTGTGGCAATGTAGGTTTATAGATTGTAACAAATGTACCACTCTGGTGCCACATGTTGATAGTTGGGGTGGAGGGGTATGCTTGTGTAGGGGAAGGGAATCTATGGGAACTCATTGTACCTTCTGCTCAATTTTGCTGTGAACCTAAAATTTCTCTAAAAAATAAAGTTTATTAGAAAAAAAAGAGCTAAAGAGTCTGTATAGTTGACTCCGGTTAGTTACTGGTATTAATGTAATGGTATGTGTCATATATGAATTAAAATCCTACATCATTATGCTAACTCCAAATAGATAGTTAATATTTAATGATATTCTTTTATAAAGGAAGGTAAATTTGTACTTATAATAATAGCTTTGAAATGTGACTTATTTTTCTCTCTAGCCAACCTTTTGCATATGTCATAGCACTAGACAAAATGTTTTTATGCATTATGAGTGAATTGGCTTTGTTCAATATGAAATTGATTGTGATTGGTTTAATTTAGGTGTTCGGATATCTAGTTTTCCCAATGAAGAAGACAGGAAACACCAACAAAGGAGCATTATTGGCTTTTTACAGGCTGGAAACCAAGCCCTGTCAGCCACTGGGTGTATACTAGAGAAAACAGACAAAGATCAGTTTGTAAAACCTCTAGAAATGTCTCATAAGAAGAGTTTCTTTGATAAAAAACGATCAGAAAGGAAATGGAGTCACCAAGATACATTTAAATGTGAAACCGTGAATAAACAAAGTTTCCAGATATCACAACCATTCCAAGTTTTAAAGAAGAAGATGAGTGAGAATTTGGAAATATCAGAGAATTCAGGTAACTGTCAGATATTTACCTGTCCTGTTTGCTTTAGGGCACAAGGGTGCATCAGTCTGGAAGCCTTTAATAAACATGTAGATGCATGTCTTGATGGATCTTCAATCAGTGAAAACTCTAAAGTGTTCTCGTGTTCACATGTTTCTGCTACCAGAGTTAACAAGAAAGAAAATGTTCCTGCTTCTTCACTTTGTGAGAAGCAAGATTATGAAGCCCATCCAAAAATTAAAGAAGTGTCTTCAGTAGCTTGTGTAGCTTTAGTAGATACTATAGATAACTCATCTAAAGCAGAAAGCATAGATGCTTTAAGTAATAAGCATATCAAGGGAGAATGTTCTAATCTCCCAGGCAAGTCTTTTAATATTGAACACTGTCATCAGAATTCTTCTTGCACTGTTTCGTTGGAAAACGAAGATGTTGGATTATTAAGCAGACAAGAATCCTGCGAGCCTTACTTATGTGAAGTGATAACAGGCCAAGCTCTAATTTGTCCTGTTTGTAATGTAGAACAAAAGACTTCAGATCTAACCCTGTTCAATGTGCATGTGGATGTTTGCTTAAATAAAAGTTTTATCCAAGAATTAAGAAACGACAAAGTTAACCCAGTTAATCAACCCAAAGAAAGCTCCAGAAGTACTGGTGAGTGTGTAGTCATTTTAAACTGCATGATTTTCTAGGAATATGTTTTATTAAAATTAATGAGATTGTTAAATCTGAAACATATACTATTAAATGGGTAGTTTGTGTATGCCACCATTTAGGGAAATGTTGGTTACCTTGCCATAGGTTAGAATTAACTCAAGCCTGTAGATTGTGAATTTGGGGAAAACTTTAGTTTGATCTTGATTTAGCACAGAATGAACTCAAAGATTTAAGGAGCTGAGTGATCTAATCAAAAAAGAAATTCCTTCAGAGAGTATCTGCGAAGACACAGTGGTAAATTAACTATAACTGCATAACCAGAAAGCCTCTTTAACTTATTTTTTGGTAGTGCTGACTCTACCCAAATTTCACCAATAAAATTAAGTGTAATGCTAATAAAATTAGTAAATTACAAAGAAATTATAGTTTTTGGTGTGTTTCCATATGAACTATATAGTACCACGGAAGTTATTATCTTTAATCAATAAGTTTTAACTTTTTAAATTTTTGTACAACTTTTTAATTATTTCATATTATTCATTATGGAATTTCTTGACTTTTCTTTCCTCTAAAGGTAGCTCAAGTGGAGTACAGAAGGCTGTAACAAAAACAAAAAGGTATGGCTAATTAGAGCTTTAATAAAGCTGGCTACAATATGAAAATTCAATCATTTTATAAATTATTAAGTAATCAATGTTAGAAATGAATTATTTTCTAGAATCTCTTCCTGCATTTTAATTGTGTGTTCCTTTTAATTCTAGGCCAGGATTGATGACAAAGTACTCATCAAAGAAAATAAAACCAAACAATCCCAAACATACCCTTGATATATTTTTTAAGTAAACATTGAACATTTTATCATTAATTTTAAATTGAAACTTGTTATTTTATAATCAATGAATTTGTTCTTTCTGATTTTAAGTTTGCAGATTTATTTAGTGAAGGCAAGTGCAATAATCCTTCCTCAGATGATGTTTACTTTTCTAAGATATATATATATTGATTCCATATATCTTTTTTATAACCATGAGAATTTTACTTCCATTATACATCAATTGGAAATTAATCCTGTTATGAGATAATTTTTAAAAGGGAAATTAGGAATGAGATAAGAAGGTGGTTTTTTTTATTTTTATACTGAATATAAAAACATATTTGTAAGGGCTCTCAAAGATTTACACAAACCTATATTATCATAAGAATTTTTCAGCACTTAACTACTTTGTTGGCATTGATCCTAGTATCTAAATACTTCATGAGCATTCATAATTAAAATTTATCTTAAGTTCTGTGAAGAGTATTAACATAACTAGTACAAGTGGTTTTCTTCAGGAAAATAAATATCACAGTTACTATCTGCGTTAAAATGTTTTTTGCCTAAAATACAATTTTTAATCTGACTTTTCTTATTTAGAATTCCGTTATCTTATGAATAAGCACTTGAATCACTTTTTAAAATATTTAGTCTAAGATGATTCAAAGTAGTTTTATTTTAATACAGGACCTTTAAATGGCAGTATTTCATTTCTTGTCAATTATGTTGGTACTCTCCACAAATCTATAAAGAAGGATGAATTGTACAGTCATTTTTTAATAATCGTCAAGAGAAAATGTGTAATTCAAAAGATTAATGTGTATTAAAACACATTACATATCTTAGTTACATTTCTATCAACATTTTTATTAATATTTGTGAAAGAAGAGAGCTTAATAGTAGTTAGCTTAAGTAGTTTCTCCAAATACTTTTGTGCTATCTATGAGTTCTTCTCAAAAAATAATTATTTAGGCCAGGCACAATGGCTCATACCTGTAAGGACAGCACTTTGGGAGGCTGAGGTGGGCAGATCACTTGAGGTCAGGAGTTTGAGACCAGCCTGGCCAACATGATAAGACCCTATCTCTACTAAAATGCAAAAATTAGCCAGGCGTGGTGGCACATGCCTGTAATCCCAGCTACTCAGATGGCTGAGGCAGGAGAACCTCTTGAACCTGGGAGGTCGAGGCTGCAGTCAGCCAAGATCTTGCCACTACACTGCAGCCTGGATGAAGAGCGAGACCCTGTCTCAGTAATATAATAATAGTTATTATTACTATTTAATTGTAACATGAAGTTGGAAGCCATTTTATGTTACTTCTTTAAGGAGCTAAATCTTTTGTTCTCTTATATTTTTGTTTTCTCTCCTCTTGCTTTTCATATTTTAGCTTATGATCTAAATATATATTTTATATATTATAATATTTTAGGAATAGCTTAATTAAGAACTCATAGACTTTGGCAAAGTGGTAACTGAACTTTTAATTACTAGATTGTTTAAATTAGGCTTAATGCCTGTTAGCATGCCAATCCAATCCCATGACTGATGTTATTATACACTGTGGCAAATACAAAGTTGTAGTGTTATGGTTCTTGATCGTGTGATTTACTTATGTAAATTCTGTACAAATTTAAGTTCAATGAAATATTTAATGTACTGAAAGGTAAATAATACCATATTGAATTATTTTCTGTCTTGCCTTAAGTTTATTTTTATTATCTTCAATATTAGATTAAATGCTAAATTATTTTCATTTAAGGATTTATTTAGTTGAATGTTAATCATTTAGTAATATTTAATAATCATTTGAAATCAAATTTAAAACTTTTATAGATCTAATAGAGATGGTTTCCTTACTTTTCCACTCTTCCTCCCTCTTATGCCTTCATTTTTATTTTCTCTGCCCAGAATTTTCTTCACATTCCTTACTACCTGTTTTGTCTATTATATCCAACCCATTTTCTTTTTATTATAATTTTGATTTGGGGCATTTGAAGAAAATACAGCAAAACTACAAGGACTGGTAATAAGCATGCATAATTTTACCTACTTAGTGAACCTAATATAAACCTAATATAAAGAACCACCATATTTGCAATATATATAACTGGTGGAAAACTAGTGTCCAGAGTATATAAATGATCCCTATGAATCAGTAAGAAAAAGACAGTCAATAGAAATTTGTACAAAAGACTTTATATGGCATTTCAAATGAAAGGAAATCCAGATGACCAAGAAACATGAAAATATTCCCAGCCATATTAATATTTGGGAAGTAAAAAATAAAACTACAAGGAGGTATCATTACATCTCTACCTTATTTACAAAAATGAAATGATCTAATGATACTAAATTTTGGTGATGATGTCAGCTCTTACATTGAAAACAATCACTGGAAAGATTTGTCCTTCAGTAAATTTAAAGATAAATGTGCTCAAAACCCAGCAATTGCACTCTGAAGTGTACATCTTTGCAGGCTGTCTTTCATTACAGTTATTTTTTTCCCTGTCAGGACCCTAACTAATACAATGCCTTGGGAAAACTACTGAACATGTATCCTAGAAAGCATGTACAAGAAAGTTCTGCCCAGTCAGGAAGGTGGCCTAGAAAAAAATTTTTTAGTGTTCATAGCAGCACTGCAATATCCAAAAGTTAGAAATGAACCAATTATTCAGCAATGGTAGAATGGTTAAATTCTACCGTGGCATTTGTGTTGAAACAATAGAATTCTACACAATGGTGAAAATGAAGGAAATAGCTAACCACAACATGGATGAATATCACAGACATAGCATAGAGCAAAAGAAGCGAATCACAGAGGGGTGCCATCAACATGATTCCATTTGTATAAAGTTTAAAACAGTAAAAACTGAACAACTATATTGTTTTAAGGGTGATAAAACTGTAAAGAAAAGCAAATGTTTTCATTAACAAGATGATATTTTCCTCCATCTCTGCAAGCTAGTTTCAGTCGAGAAAAAAATACATTTCTTTCTTCCAGGACCTTGCTGAACACAGCAAGAAAGAGCCATCCCATGCCAAATTTTTAATTTTTCTCCTAGCATTTCCCCTAAGGCTACCGCCTCAATCAGCATTTGGTCTTCTTTCCAAAGACAGCTGTAGACAGTTTGACCAAATATTTTGTTACCACTTGTGATGGTTAATATTGAGTGTCAACTTGATTGGATTAAATAATGCAAAATATTGTTCCTGGGTGTGTCTATGAGGGTATTGCCAAAGAAGATTAACATTTGAGTCGGTGGGCTCAAGAGGCAGATCCACCCTCAGTCTAGTTGGGCACTCATCTGATCAGCTGCCAGCATACCTAGGATAAAAGCAGGCAGAGGAACGTGGAAGGACTACACTGGCTAAGTCTTCTGGCCTCCATCTTTCTCCTGTGCTGCATGTTTTCTGCCCTGGAACATCACACTCCAAGTTCTTCAGCTTTTGGACTCTTGGACTTGCCAGGGACTATGAGGCCTTCAGCCACAGACTGAAGGGCTGCACTGTCTGCTTCTCTACTTTTGAAGTTTTGGAACTCAGACTGGCTTCCTGGCTCCTCAGCTTGCAGACAGCCTGTATGGGACTTCACCTTGTGATTGTGTGAGTCAATTTTCCTAAGAAACTCCCCTTCATATATACATCTGTCTTATTAGTTCTGCCCCTCTAGAGAACCCTAATACACCACTAAACAAGTCACCAGTTTTCCAGTCTGTGATATTTGTGTCCCGACTCCCTGAAGTCTTCTCCCCAACCCTAAGTCAATTCGTTATATTAGGCTTTGTTATTTGCAGTACCCTATTTCTTTATCAGTTCAGTCACAAGTTTCCTGGTGCCTCTTCCTCGTTGAGTCACATGGGGACATGCTTAATTCTCCCAGAAATGTGTGACAGCATGTGTAAAATATTGCCAACCAGGGAAGCTCAACCAATCCTTGGTGTCCAAGGTTTTTACTGGAAGTCAGTCACACAGACACGCATCACACATGTGACTGACCTAACTTATTAAGTCTCAAGACCCCAGAGGTGTAGTGATACCTCATGGCCCAGGGCTTCAGCCATTCAAAAACAGACATTCACCATGAGTCATACTGTTAGCATAAACTATCTCATCAAACTAACAAAATGCAGCCCAAGGCCTCAGGCATACTAGAACACTATTATCAAACTGGAAATTCCAAGGGCTCAGGTCATTTCCCAGGAGCTAGTTAAGGAAGGGCCAGTACCTGAAGACACCTCTCTTTGAAAAGTGCGGGGCTTGTGTAACCTGAGGCTGCTGGGTTAACCCTTTACCGCATAAATGTCGAATTATTAGAATTGTATTCAAATAAAATATAAAAAAGAAAGATCACTTAGAGTAACTTTTTCCTGCCTCACTTGAATAATGCAGAGACACTTCAAATTGATAACATGTTTAGGAGGTCTCAAGGAGGATGGGCTATGCATTTGGAATGTATGCATATTAGAGTATAAAACAACAAATGACATAATTTCTTTGCATGTGTGTAATCCTCTCTTCAATGTAGTTCAAAGGTCTCTTTTTTAATATCAGTCTTTACATTGTCCCTGTAATATAGAGCTATATACCTTTCCTCAATCTTATGTGATAGTAGGAAAAGTAACATTATAAGAAGTATTTATAAATTAATTCACTCCCCCAGAAGTGCTTTATTTTAAAGTTAGCATGGGAATTGCAGTATCCGCAAGGTCAATGTCCCCACTGAAGAAGTGACCTTCTAGAGGAAGAAGTTTCAGCATCACCGTGGGTAATGGAAGCCATATAACAGAATTTAAGAAGGAACTTTGTGCTAAGAAAATGTAGACAGTGGTTATAGGCATTTATGTAAGAAGGCTGTAAGTTAAAGGCAAGAGAGATGTAGCAATTAATAGGAGATATTTTTTCTGCCCTCATTAACAAATGTGTTTATTTACTACTCCTTACCTTTTAACTCATCCCCCCTGTATCCACTGCTACCTCTGCCAACCCTATATCTGTTACTGAATTCTGTCTACTCTTGTGGGGCCTCTTGAAAATATCCATTTCTTTCCATCTCTTTTGTCAAGCCCTTATCAGTTGTCTAAACTCTGACTTTCCAACTGATGTGTCAGTTTTCCTTGCTCTAAACCATCTCACGCCTTTTTTTTACAGATTAGCCATAAACAGCGTTCCCATAATAGCACTCTCATGTCAAAAAAACAAAGCAATTTTCAAAAGCTCTCAACTGTCTCCAAGATTAGCAGTGGAATGAGTAGGAAAAGGGAGTGATTTTTAGTGTATGATTATTTCTGTGGTGTAAATACTCCCACCATGACAGATTTCAAGTTATGTGATGTCAACCAGTTCACAAAATTCCTGAAACTTTAACAGCTCTTGCAAGCCAGTACAAGCCAGCTCCTATATATCACTGTCCATGATGCACTCTAAACACTGGCTTGGCATTCAGGGTTTCCTGAACAGACCAAGCTGTTTCTCCTTTCTGCTATCTGTGTTCCATTGCTCCCTCTGTCCAGAATATGCTTCCTGAATGCCCCTTTTCTATCTCCCACCTACGTAGTCACTCGTCTTTCAACTCAGCTCAGGGGCCACTTTCAGAAAACGGTTCCTTGCCCTCTGGAAAAACTGATCAGTCACTATTTTGTGCTGCTGTTTCTCTACAAAGATCCTGAAACATTCTTTGCATGGCCCCCGATGTTGGTTTCTCCCTACCAGATTGTAGGCCCCAAGAGATCCTGGGCTTTCACTTATCTCTGAATTCCAAGTATGAAGTGTATGGCCTGGCACACAGTAGACACGGAGAGTCATTTGTTGACATGTAAATGAATAAATAGTATGTGTCCAAGAATGTTTACTACTATCTTACTGTTTTTCTCTGGGAAGACAGAATGGTGGCTAAGTGGCTGCACTCACACTAGGTCCTAAAGAGTGGGCGTTCCAGAAAGAGACAATTGTATTTATTTCCCTTTATTAGATAGTGGCTTGCTTTATACATGTTTTATTATTATACTGTGTCCTTTTGGAGTGGCTTGGAAGTATTTGCAAGAAGACTTAAAATACGACTATTAACCTGGGGCTAATAAAACTGTTTTTTGAGGAAATATTTCATTTAAAAAATCATACCTGGTGTACCTGGTGCTGAACTGTTGTTTTTAGAGACAAGGTCTGATCGTCACCCAGGCTGAAATGCAGTGTCATGATCATAACTCACTGCAGCCTGGAACTCTGGGGCTTGAGATCCTCTCATCTCAGCTTCCTGAGTAGCTGGGACTACAGGCTGGTGCCATGATGCCCAGCTAAGTTTTTGTAATTTTTGTTGAGATAGGATCTTGCTATGTGGCCTAGATTGGTCTTGAACTCCTGGCTTCAAGCAGTCCTCCTTCCTCAGCCTCCCAAAGCTCTGAGCCACCATGCCTGGCCCTGATACTGAATTTTCTTTGACGTAATGTTCCATTTTGAAAAGCAGTGATATATTTGAACACACTTTGTGTTGCTAGGATTTTAGTAAACTTCACAGAGAGGTGATGTTTATTTCCCTGGAGAAAAAACTGTTTTTTCATTGTATAATTAAGGACTAATCGCTTTTGCTTTGTAATACATAACTGAATTAGGTTGTTAAGAAAAACTCCAATGACATTATGGTGACTATTGGAAACATGATTCCATTTATTAAGCAAACCATAATATTGAACTGTTCCCCTTACCAGTATGAGGCAATTGTGATAGTGTTACTTTGTAACTGCTGCTATCTACAGAATGCTCAGGGAAATTAAAGATAATTCAGAGACAAATGGTACTAACCCTTCTAACCTGTCGCTAAAGTGTAGAGGACTCTTTCCTGTATACACACACACACACACACACACACGCACACAACCTCTGCCAACCACATACCTATCATTGAGTTCCGTCTACTCTTGTTGGGCCTCTTTGAAAACACTTCTTTCCATGTCTTTTATCAGGTTCTTATCAGTTGTCTAATATCTAGCTGTCTAACTCATTGCTTAGCTTTCACCAGTTGCTTTCCCTGCTCTAGATCATCTTGTGCATTTTTATATACAATACTTTCCTAATATCACTCATGTTCTTGGGTGTCTGTGGAGAGAGTGAGAGAGAGAGACAAAAAGAAAAAAAAAGGTTGGGTCAGCTCTAGGATAAAATCTAGTTCTCTTTTATGAAGGCTCAAAAGTTTTTTCCTCTTAGAATATGCTAAACATCAAATGTGATCTCTGAAACCATCCACAAGTGTGAGATATGCCAAGGTTTTTTGGGTTTTGCTAGCAATTCTGGGCAGAGATCCTGGTTGTCCTTCAACATTCTACTTTTCTGCCATATTATTAGAATTTTAGTTTGGCACATGATCACCCAGAATAGACTGCTGTATTTCGTCAATTCTTTATAAACCACTAAGAAATAATACCTCAGATAGGGAGTCTAATAGGTTACCAGTGCATAAATATGGGACACCAAGGTTTATACCTTCAGAGCAAGGATAAAGGAGAAATCCTCCATGAAGAAAGAGGGAGCAAAGCAACTTGCCTGCTCAACCTTGGCACTGGTTGGAAGGAGGGACTGCCAGTGAGAATTTGAATCACAAACCAGCACACATGTAGGCTTGTAATCTGAATTCACACAAATGGTATCATCCTGAAGAGCTCAAGCAGAAAATGTAATTAAAGTGAGGTTAGTATTGTCCCTAGTGACTGGCGGAAGCATATGCAAATCCTTTCTGGAATAACTCAACTTCAATTCAGGTGGACAATTTAGTATCTCAATTAAAAATATGTGATAGTGTGAAAAATAGAGGTTACAGAATTGATGACTACAATATATCTCCCATCCTTGCAGCTCACACCCTCCCGGCTAGGGGTAGCCATGTGACTGAGTTTTGACTAATATAAAAGGAAGTACTGGCTGGGTGTGGTGTTTCACACCTGTAATCTCAGCACTTTGGGAGGCTGAGGCATGTGGATCACCTGAGGTCAGGAGTTCCAGACCAGCCTGGCCAAGATGGTAAAACCCCGTCTCTACTAAAAATACAAAAAGTAGCTGGGCATGGTGGCACGCTTGTGATCCCAGCTACTCAGGAGGCTGAGGCAAAAGAATCGCTTGAACCCGGGAGGCGGAGGTTGCAGTGAGCTGAGATTGCACCACTGCACTCCAACCTGGGTGACAAAGCTAGACGAGACCTTGTCTCAAAAAAAAAAAAAAAAGGAAGTACTATGTGTGGTTGCTTTTGGGAAACTTCCCTTCTTGCAGCTGTAGCATTCTCTTTGCCTCTTCTTTCTATTTCTCTGTTCCATCCTGCTGCCTGGAAGCAGATGCTGCCGTTTACACCTAAACATAAGGGCTGCACATGGGGATGGTGGAGTAGTGGGCTGCAGAGGCTGATTCCTGGGGGCGTTGTAAAACAGAGACATATCAGCACTGGCCTGCACACTTTGAGACTTTCACAAGAAGCAAATAAAAAAACTGTTTAAGCCATAGTTACTTGGGTTTTCCTATTAATTATAGCTGAATCCTAGCGGATAAAGGACATAAAGATTATTAAGACATGTTTGTCCTCAAAAAATGGACAGCCACTCCAGGGACAGTTTCTATTCAATGTAGGGAGGGCTATAATAGGTGAATATACAAAGTGGGAGTCTAGGGAGAAATCATCTGGTAGAGGAGGGCAAAGAGAAATCTAGGAAGATGTTTTTAAAAATATGGAATCCTTGAACAGGATCTGGTTTTAAAGGTTTACTTCAGAATTGAACATATTTTTTTAGTCTAGACCTTCCTTTAGGGAAAAAACTAAAGCTTTCAGGACTCAAAGACAAGTTACTGCTCACATGGCTAAATTGCGTTCCATATTTATTTGACAAATACTTATTGCAGGTTGGGTAGCTGTTGGAGATGCAGTAGGAAACTTTTTTTTTGAGACAGAGTCTTGCTCTGTCACACAGGTTGGAATACAGTGACATGGTAACAGCTTGCTGCAGCCTTGACCTCCTTGGCTCAGGCCATACTCCCATCTCAGCTTCCCAAGTAGCTAAGACTACAGGTGTGCACCACCAGCAGCAGCTAATTTTTAAATTATTTGTGGAGACTGGAGTCTCACTAAGTTGCCCAGGTTGGCCTCAAACTCCTGGCCTCAAGCCATCCTCCACTTCAGCCTCTCAAATTGCTGGGATTATAGGCATGGGCCACCACGCCTGGCCCAACAGACTTTTAAAAATCACTGTATTCATGAAGTTTACCTTCTGGTTGTGGAAACAGACACTAAACAAATACAGACATTTCAATGGTAAGTGCTACAAAGGAAAGTGAAACAGCATAAGAGAATGGAACATGAAGGTAGGGGACACTTAGAATAAGATGATCCGAGAAGGCTCCTCTGAGGAAGTGACATTTAACCTGAAACCTTACTGATACAAAGAATCAAAACTATTTAAAAAATTCGGAAGTGGAGGTGGGGGAGAGAGGTTCTAGGCAAAGGGAGGAAATAAAAGCTGGATGGCTCTCCACCAGGAAACACTGGATGAAGAATGGAGAAGAATTGTAGGGCCCAAGATTAGAGAGATGAGTAGGGCCAGATCATGTGGGCAAGCTTTTATGTATTAGCACACTTAGAATTAATATTCTGCTTGAGAAGTAACCTGATATTTGAAATAGAGTGAAAAAGAAAATACCTCCCACAGTATACTTCATAACTTCTCATTTAGCCCAAGCTCTCAGGGAAGTAAAGTCCAGCTATGGCTGAGTTTCACATAATGCACTGCTTTGGAGTTTTTGTCTCATCTGGTAGAGTAAGATAAGTACCACATACTATTTTTTTTTTTTTTTTTTTTTTTTTTTTTTTTTTGTGAGACGGAGTCTGTCGCTCAGGCTGGAGTGCAGTGGCCGGATCTCAGCTCACTGCAAGCTCCACCTCCCGGGTTTACGCCATTCTCCTGCCTCAGCCTCCGGAGTAGCTGGGACTACAGGCGCCCGCCACCTCGCCCGGCTAGTTTTTTGTATTTTTTAGTAGGGACGGGGTTTCACCGTGTTAGCCAGGATGGTCTCGAGCTCCTGACCTCGTGATCCGCCCGTCTCGGCCTCCCAAAGTGCTAGGATTACAGGCTTGAGCCACCGCGCCCGGCCACAGTACCACATACTATTTATTATAAGGCTATATAGCATAAAATGATGATGCATTTTCTCCGGTCATCGATAAGAAGATTTTTTAAAAAGTCAATTTCTTGGTTTAGAATTTGAAAGCAGTTTCAAACTTGGATAACACAATTCAGATCTTTTTCCTCTTATTATTATTATTTTATTTATTTATTTTTTGAGATAGGGTCTGGCTCTATCACACAGACTAGCACACAGTGGCACAATCTTGGCTCATTGCAACCTCTGCCTCCCAGGCCATCCTCCCACCTCAGCCTCCCAAGTAGCTGGGACTACAGGCATGCACCACCATGCCTGGCTAATTTTTGTAGAGAGGGGTTCTCACTTTGTTGCCCAGATTGGGAGATCTTTCTGTACTTGACTGTATGCTTTCCATTGATCTGCTGCTATTTTCACTATTATTCCTTCTTTTGTGTGGGTATTTTCTTCTGATTTTTAGAATTTTACTTGTAAACATGCTACATTACACATATAATTTGTGCCCTGTTTTTCCATTTACATATTATACTTTCCATATTAGTACATTGTCTGATATTTCTGCATAATACTCAATTCAACTTATCTGCTGTTGTTTTTATCATATCCCTATTACAAACATGAGGCCCATTTCCCTTTTTTAAAAAAGGAAAGTTTGAGGTTACGGGTGGTGTTCTGATAAATAATATTTTGTCATTTGTTTTCATTGACAAGGAAACATTGTTTTGAATTCAATGCCTCAAATTGGGTGCACAATAATTTGAAGGAAAAAGCTGACAAGTTTGAAATGAAATTGATATTACATAATTTACATTAAAATGATACATCTTTTGTAAATTTGTAAGAAGAATAAAAAATAAATGAAAACCTGATTACCTTTCTTATTTGAAGTTTATTTGGGGGGTCAGAATTTGACTTGCTTCTGTATTATTTCACTTTTCAAAAGAATCCGCCAGGAGAGATTATAATTGCGTGGTCTTCAAATGAGAAATCAAGTCTTTCTTTATTCAACAGAAAATGTTGGAAGCCCATTTAGAAATCATTTAATATTGAAGTTCCTATAGTGTTGGTTATAAATTCAACCTTGACATTTCTTAATATTGTACAAAGAAGTGGTAGAGTAGAAGTGGGAGTTCACTGGGGCTTGTAGATTTCGCAGGATGTTTTATTTCCCGGAGAACCAAACCTTAAGCACAGTGCACGCCACACCTGAGGGCGGATTCTCCCAGGCCGGCCCAAGTCAGGGCAGGGCTGGAAAACCAGGGGCTTGTTGCCCAGCGAACCGCCACAACAGAGAGCGGTCTGCGCTCCGGCGGGGCTGACCTGCCAGCGTCCAGCCTCGCGCCCTGGGCCTGTCTGGATCTGGGTCTGGGTCTGGCCCTGCGCTCCGGGTCCGCGGAGGCGACCATGGACCTCGCCGGGCGCGCCCGGGGCCACGGGGCCACGGTAGGGGGGCTGCTGCTCGGGGCGGCTGCTGCCGCCAAGGGTCTCAGGGAGGACCTGAGGGGCGCGGACGCCCTGCCTTGGAGGGCCCTGTCCCGGATCCCGAAGCGGAAGGGGCTTGGAGAGGAGGACACGACAGTTGCCGGACACGAGCTCCGTGAGTCCCGGAAACGAGGTCTCAGAAAATCAGGTTGCGGGGCGGGCTGGGTCGAAGGGACTTAAAAAGGTACCCAGTGCAGCGCCTCCGGAAGCTGCGGGAGTGAAACTGGCGCGGCGACTCCGCCCTGGGACCCCGAGTCCCAGCCTCCACCGCTGCACCCCTTGTTGGCTGGTTTTCGGCTTTGGAATCCACCCCCACCATGTACTGTGGGTGGAAGGACAGTATTATTCTTCCGAATTAAGGAGGAGGCTTTTTAAAATAATGATTAAGTCCTTTTGCAAATAAGAGTTTCATGTGCTCTTATCTCCTATATCGTGACTCATGCGCCGATTTATTGTCTGACTTTAAATAAATCACTTATCTTTCTGCACTTAAGTTTTAAAGCATGGAGTGGATCATCTATGCCTTGGGAATAATGTGCAGTATAAACTAAGGCAGCTGTTAAGCAGTTCAAAAGCTGAAAGCGAGTCAAGTCTCTCCCCGGCACCCTCCACTCCCCACCCGCCTCCGACCCCGGCCCCCCTGCAAGCAGGGTCTTGTTGCTCTGTTGCACAGGCTGGAATGTAGTAGTGCAATCACAGACCTCCTCAGGCTCAGGTGATCCTCCCACCTCAGCCTTCCCAGTACTCAAGTCTCTCTTTTTTTTTTTTTTTTTTTTTGAGACTGAGTCTCGCTCTGTCCCCAGGCTGCAGTGCAGTGGCCGGATCTCAGTTCACTGCAAGCTCCGCCTCCCGGGTTTAGGCCATTCTCCTGCCTCAGCCGCCTGAGTAGCTGGGACTACAGCCGCCCGCCACTCGCCCGGCTAATTTTTTAGAGACGGGGTTTCACCGTGTTAGCCAGGATGGTCTCGATCTCCTGACCTTGTGATCCGCCCGTCTCGGCCTCCCAAAGTGCTGGAATTACAGGCTTGAGCCACCGCGCCCGGCCCAGTACTCAAGTCTCTTAACGGGGCACACCATCCAAGCCTACTGGCTAGGACGGCCTTATTTCCTAAATTAGGCTTGGAAGCTGTACACCAGTTCCTCAATATAGTGTTCATTCAGTCATTCTGGAAATATTTTCAAGGGCTTAACTATTTTCTAGGCATGTTCTAGATGTAGGGATGGAGAGAACAAGACAACCCCTATTCTGGTGGAACATTCTGTTGTGGTAGAGGGGTGATAGACAATAAAATAAGTAAGCAAATAAATGAATAAGATAATTTAAGGTAAGTGCAGTGAAGGCCATGAGACAGGGTGATGTGGTTGGAGTCAGGCTGCCTAGGACAATTCTATCACTTATAAAGCATTAACAAGTGGTATAACTTTTGAAAATCTCAGTTTCCTCATCTGTAAGATGGAGGAATCATGCCTACATCAACAGGTTATTTGTTTTATATAAACCCTGGGGCATTCCAATAGTTGGAGATCAAGCAAAGGAAAAAGAGCCGGTAGAAAAGACTAGAAAGCAACAGTTGGCTTACCAGACCTCTAGAGAAGAACATGTTACAAGGGGTGTGTGTTCCTCTGTGTCACAGTTGCCAAGAGCTCAATGCACTTGACAGGGTATAATGACTGGGTTTTGGCAAGACGGAGTGACCTCAACAAGAGCAGTTTCAGTAGAGGAGTGGGAAAGATGTCTGATTAGCATGGGTTGAGACAAGACTGAGATGAAGAAATGGAGACAGCAATTATAGAATACTTAAGTTTGGGGTAATGGAAAGTTGAAAAATGCAGCAGCAGTTGGAAAGGAAGCTGGGGTCAAAGGAGGGTTTTTTACACTTAGGGTATTATGGCATCTCCGTATTTTTTGAAGGAAAATAAGATAATAGTCATCCACTGGAGAGAGATTAAGTGATCTAGAGGAAAGAAGACATAATTTCCAAGAGACTGGCATATGAAACACTTGAAAAGATAAAAAGGGGATAGGATCCAGAGCCCAGGTGTAGAGGTTGGCCTTTCCTAGGTACAGGGATGCTTCATCCTGTATATACAAATGAAGGTAGGTTGGTAGATTCACCTAGGTGGGAAGATGTGGGAATTCGTGTCCTACTACTTCTGTTTTCACTATGAGGCAACGGTATTGACTGAGAATTAGGTGATGGTAGTGGGAGGAAGTAAATTAGGTAGATTAGTAAATTCAGATATTTGAGGAGAAAGGAAAGGATATGACATATTGAAGAAGGGAAGACTAGGGAAATGTAGAGGCTAGCTAGTCGTGCTGAGATTAGTGGGGAAGAATTTAAGAGACCTGTTAGCATGTGTATCAATCAGGACAAAGTAAGCTTTTCCTGCAGCAATAAATGACTCCTACGTCTGAGTGACTGGACATAAAAACAATCTATTTCTGGCTGGGTGTGGTGGCTCACACCTATAATCCCAGCATTTTGGGAGGCCCAGGTGAGAGGATCACTTGAGGACAGGAGTTCAAGACCAGCCTGGAAAACGTAACAAGACCCCGTCTTTAAAAGAAAAATCTATTTCTTGCTCGTGTAGCATGTCCAAAATAGGTTGGCGAGGGTCTCTCAGAAACCCAGGTGTCAAGGACCATAAAGGGGTTGAGATTTTACCCTACTTATAATCTCACAAGTTAGCTTACTAGGTGATAGAGATGCTGGCAGAAGACACTTTTGGATCAGAGATGATGGATTTCATTACTCACAGCAGTAGCAGTAGCCAGAGTGTTAGCATTTGTGTCAGTTCTCCAAGCCCCAATTCCCATCATAAAGATGCCAAATGACACCTGCACACACAGTGGGTTGTGTTACAGAAAAATCCTGCACTTAGGGAACCCAAATCGTTTGTAATAGTCAGTAAGCATGCCTTACCATTGCTTTCTTCCAAGGCTGCAAGCAAACCTGCCCTTTGCTCCAGAGGAAAAATGTCTCTATTTGTCAAGGCTTTTCACTATACAAACATCCTTGAAAAGATAGTAAAGAGCAAAGCCAGTCAATGCTTTTCCTTGTAAGATGTGCAGAAATGTGAGAGACCCGGAGAGAATTATCTCCCAATACCAAGTTGATGGAGGTACCACGATCTTGTGACCCCTTCATTTAAACACATAGCTTCCAGTGTTGCTAAGGCAGGGAAAAGAGACCTAGAGGGTGACACAGACTTTTCACTGACTCAGCCCCAAAGTGACATGCCATCACTTCTGCTTTCAGTCCATTGGATACACCTCATCTAGCTGTATCCAGGCTGGGATATGGGCTTACACATGTGACCAGGTAGAAGAGAAAAAGCAGATATTGATGAACACTAGCAATGTTTACCACAGCATGGTTGTGTGTTTTTCTCCAGTACCGTTTAGCTGTTCAGGTACAGAAACAAAGCAAGTAGCAGTTGGATTTAATCTCAGAATTAGGATTCTGACCAACTAGTCTAATGGAGGAAAAGAATGGTGAGGGAGGTGTTTGCATAGAAGTGATTTCATAGGTGGACCATATGCTATGGTCTGAATGTGTGAAATACATTTCTGTTTTTTAAAAAATTACTCAGTGTCAGGTAGTTTGTTACAGCAGCAAAAACAAACTGGCACCATGGAATCTAAACATGGTAAGGAGGGAAGTAAGGGCACAGAAATGAAGAATATGAAAAAGGGTTAGAACTGTGGACTGGAGGACTTCATAAGGTTGCAGAATTTCTGGACTTGGAGAACTAGAGCAGCTGAGCTGAATGGATGAGAAGTTGTGGTCAAAGAATAGGATTCTGGAAGTCAAGATTTCAGAGGTAGTGCAGTTTGAGTGATGATTAATTCAGGAATGTGTCTCTGAAATTTGATGACTGAGGTCAGATCTGCGGAAGATTATTAGAGGGAACTAAGAGGCCAAGGTGTTGGATTAATCATCTGTGAGGAGGTTGAAGTCACCTAGAATGGTGACAAGAGTAGGGGTAGGAAGGAAGAGAAGGATCCAGGTAACAGAAAGAATGAGCATGTGAATCTGTATGAGTCTGCTCAGGCTGCCATGACAAAGTACAGCAGACTGGATGGCTCAAACCACAGATGCTTATTTTCTCACAGCTCTGGAGGCTACAAGTGCAACATCAAGATGTTGGAAAAGTTGGATTCTTCTTAGGCCTCTTTCCTTGGCTTATAGATGGTCACCTTCTCCCTGCCTTCACCTGGTTTTCCGTGTGTGTATGTGTGTGTGTGTGTGTGTGTGTGTGTGTGTGTATGTGTGTCCGTCCTAATCTCTCTTCTTTTAGGGACACCAATCATATCAGATTGGAGCCCATTCATATGACCTCATTTTACCTTCATTACCTCTTTAAAGGCCCTATCTCCAAACATAGTCAACATTCTGAGGTACTTGGGGTTAGGAGTTCAACATATGAATTTTGGAGAGACACAATTCAGCCCATAACAATATTTCCCAAGAAGATACTCCTTGGTTGGTCCTTGATTGGACTTGGCAGTATCCTTAAGAGTCTTTGCTTCGTCAAAAACGTGGGGAACATTGAATGTCATGATGGTATCATTTAAAAACAAGCAAACGCTTAGGAAACTATTCAGCAACACACCTACAGAAACGTCTCTTACAGGTCCTTTCTGTTTGGAGATGGTCTGTTATTGACTCCTACTTAACCTCAATTCTGGTCTTATCCCTTCGTGTTGGGCTGTCCTCTGAGAGCCCTCTACTCCCCCACGTAACAAAAAAACTCAATAAACCCTGGAATCTTCTCTATGACAGTTAATAAAGCCTACCAGATGAATGTGTATATGTATGTGAAATATGACATTTATAATAGATGTCAATCTACTTCTCTGTGTGTTTATATCAATGAGAATAAAACATTTTCATCCCCTTTACCTTTGTGTCTGTATGTGTGATGGGCTGCATTATGAAATTTTCTTCCTGCAGGCCTGACGTCTGTATAGAGTTCTGAAGACAACAGTTTTATCTCTGTAAGCTGTAGGAGCATTTGGACTCCTCCCTGCCTAATCTTGTACAAGGTTTTTTACAATGTCCCCTGGGAAGTCTACCGCCTTCTGACCTTCTAAGCCAGATACCACATTACTGACTTCAGGGTGGTCCTCATGAATAATGTTTTGTTTGGGGCCAGGAACATTTTTAAGGGTGTGAAAACCCTTGCAGCATGAGGAGAAAATTGAATCTTGATACTACAGTTTTATAAGATATTGAAGCAAAGTTTCTGTGTCCTAAATAAAAATAGCGAAATGTGAAAGACTCAAGGCTGCTGTTTCGTTTCAAGGCTGTTGTTACAAGGTTTGCCCTATGAAATATGCTTTCTCTTTGGCCTCCTTAAATTCCTTTAGTTCATGCTTGCCTTGCTTTCTTTCAGTACTGCCAAATGAGAGAAGCTTTCAGAATGCTGCTAAAAGCAATAATTTGGATCTTATGGAGAAGCTGTCTGAAAACAAGGTTAACATTAATGCTGTGAACAATGTGAGTAGAAGTCATAAATATGACAAGTGACTACTCCAGTAATGGCTTGGGTTTACACAGGACATCTGAAATAATAATAAAAGTAAAAATCATGGTGCTGGCTGAGATAAGGGAGCGCTCCTTTGTTGGTAATCCCAGGGTGTTTAAGCTAAAAGGTGGAGTCAAACAGTGGAAGAGGCTCTGTGCGTTTTAATTCCTCTTCCAAGAAGGGCAGTGCACCGAATCTTCATGCATATCTATTCAAAGTCTGTGGGTGGGCAGTAAAGCCAGCTGTTGGGGTTATAGGTAAAGCCAGCTGTCGGGGTTATAGGCCTGGACCTGGTCCTGGATTGTTGCCTGTGGATCAGCTTGGCCTCACACATTCTGGAAAGGCAGAACATTTTTTGCTACACAGTCTGGGTTGTTTTCTTGCCAATGATGTCCTGTGTGGTTCTGTTTTTAAAAATCTAAAGAGGCATGTGGATTTTCATTGTACTGGTTTTGAAATGTAGTGTGTCTGCCTCTTGGGCAATGAGGCCTTATCTAAAACCTGGCTCTTACTTGTTCTTTAAGTCCCTGGGTTTTAGCAGAGGGAAAGTCCACTGCCATAAATTTGGATTCTCTACTGCTTGCTTTTGTGAGGATTTCCTGATAGTCCTTTGAGGCCAGGTTTATCAAAGTGAAGGTTGGAGGCTGTGTCAATTGCTTAGGACAATTTGTGGAGTGGTTCCAGGTGGGTGTGGCACCCACCTGGGTGTTGGGTAATTGTATTTAATGGTAAATTTAATGGTAAATGATTTACTATTTAATGGTAAATGAAGCATAAGCTTCAGGGCCCTTGCTTGTACAGGCCCCTTGTAAGGCACTGAGAGGGCTCTGGTAATATATTCCTATGACTATATGATTTTGTAAAATCTGAAAAATTATAAGGCATTTTAACTGCAATTATTTAAGCTTTCTGACTCTGGCTTTAAAGAAGACTCCCTAAATAGTCTAAACTCAGGTTTCACAAAACCTATATCTTATCGCAGGCAGTAAGGTCCTAGAAACTGAAGCTGCAGAATCTGAAATCATGTACCAGATGCAGTGGAAGATGTTGTGCATGTATGTCGGGAGCCTTTGTGCTTATGTGTGGGGATAAGTGTGGGGATTGATATGTCTATGTGTATAATGTGTGTGTGTGATGTGTTATGAGTGTATATAGTGTTCATGTTCCATAGATATCCTAGAATAGGAAAGCAGCAAAATGTTGTAGCGTAACAATTTTAGGGACAAAAAGAAAAAAAAGGAATCAAGAAAGGAAGGAAAGGCAGAAAGGAAAAAAGATGGAAAGGAAGGAAAAGAAAAGAAGTAAGCAAGTCTCTTTGAAGGGGATATTTGCATAGTTTCAAAAATATTTATGGATAGGTATCTTTGAAGATTATTTTGACCATGAAAGGTTAATTGTGGGAGTAAGTGAAGCAATAATCACTTTTCCAAGTAGCAGGAAATAGATTCTCTAGTATACTGTTTAAACCATTTAACATTTTTCCATATTCAACTTTCTGTTTTGTTTTAAACTTTTTTTTAATATTAAAGTACTTGGAGAGATAGTACAATCGAATACACTTTAACTTACAGCGTGGCAAGTTATTATAAATTCCTAATGAATTGTATTATGCTTTCTTATGACATCTGTTTGCTGTTTACAGCAAATCGTTGACATGGTTACTTGGAGAGTTCCTTAAAACCAGTGACGATGGAGCTTTTTAAAATATAAGTAATTTTATTGAATTATCTTGGGTGAAATTTTGGCTTACATCCTTATTCACAAGTAAAGTTAATAGTGGAGCTTATAAGCCCATATTTGACATAGTAGAGCAAAGCTCCAGATTTCAGACAAAGTCATAATAACTCATGGGTTTTTTTGTTTTGTTTTGTTTTGTTTTGAGACGGAGTCTTGCGCTCTTGCCCAGGCTGGAGTGCAGTGGCGCAATCTCAGCTCACTGCAACCTCCACCTCCTGAGTTCAAGCAATTCTCCTGCCTCAGCCTCCTTAGTAGCAGGGATTACAGACGCACGCCACCATGCCTGGCTAATTTTTGTATTTTTAGTAGTTACAGGGTTTCACCATGTTGGCCAGGCTGGTCTCAAACTCCTGACCTCAGGTGATCTACCCACCTCGGCCTCCTAAAGTGCTAGGATTACAGGCATGAGCCACCGTGCCCAGCCATAACTCATGTTTTGTCGAACTTATTTTATCACTGGTTTAGCTATTGTGAAAGTTTTCAGAATCAAAATGGGGTCACCGATATTAAGAAAACCTTGACAAATAGAGCTGGGGAAGGCCATGAAGACAGGGTTCTCATGCTTGTATACTTGATAACAAAAACTATCACAAAAGACTGCAAAACCCACAACCTCACACAAAGGCCATCACAACCTTACACAGAAAATACTTCTGCAAGGACATCTGCCCAGAAACTGCCTGTCTAATCTAAGACTGGTGTCAGCTTGTTGTTGAACTTTGCAGCAAAGGATAATTATTTCAAAACAGTTATGTAATCCTCCTCATTTTTTTTCCTTTAAAAACCTTTGTCTTCTTTTACTTCCTTAAATACACACATAGTTTACTATGACATGCATATTCCCGTTGCAATGCTTTATTCCCAAATAAATATCTTTTCTTCTGAAAGTCTCTCTTATTATTTAGGTTGACACTACCAAGAAAATCAAATATTTAAACAGTTCTCATTTTTTTTCTTATTTATGTGTAACAAAGAATAGTAAAGCCATGCCCAGACATCATCTTTGGAAGCAAAAACAGTGTCTAGAATATGGGAATGATGACTCATATCACTTCCAAGCAAAACTTTCATTGTCTGAAATGTATTAGACTCTCTCTGGGTATCCCAGGAGCACCACATGGACTGTCCTTTGGAGCAAGATGGTCATAGCTTTTCCTCTGCCTTTCTGTCTTTCTTTCCTTCCTCTTTTCTTTACTCTTTTATCCCTTCCTCCCTTCCTTCTTCCTTTCAGAAGGAATTTATTTGGTTCAGTAAAGTTTACAGTCCAAAAACTTAGAGAAGAATGAACATGAGTGGATTGAATACCTGGGAAAATTTCCGCTATGCATTATTAGGATATTCTAAGCAGAAAAATTTACCGTTATTAATGATTATATAAGGGGGAAATCCAACTTTTACTTTCTAAACAAAACCCATTATGTTGCCACAACATAATGCTACAATACAATATAAGTTGAAACAAGAATTTCAACTTGAGGCGTGTCCTTCAATGGATTGCCAAATTCTCTGCTGTTATCTCATAATGAAGGCAGAATTCGGCTGGACACAATTCTCACAACTTTCAAAGGTAAAGGCAAAGAGTGGAGCCAAACAATCAAAATAGAAACACCTAATAGAAAAGTATGGCCATTCAAGAAACAGGAAACCTAAAAGCGCTAAATAATGATCAGTGACTAAAAACATAAATTATGCTTCCTCAGATGAACCGCACAGCCCTGCATTTTGCAGTGGGGAGAAATCATTTATCTGCAGTGGATTTCTTGCTTAAACACAAGGCCAGGGTGGATGTTGCTGATAAGGTAAGCTCATCTTGAGTAGAACAAATTGGAGCATAACCAATGTACAGGGAGAATCTGATCACTCCAGACATCTTTTCTTCACATACATGCAAAATATTTTAATTGGCAGTGTTTGTTCTGGAAACGTCTCTTCAGAGAATATACATATATGTGCTCTTTGTATTTGGGGACTAAATTGTTTCCCTTTTACCTATGGGACCTGGGTTTTTGCTTATTTTCTCATATTGACTTTATGACCAATAGCATGCATTTGTAAAAGCAAGATCATTGTCCAGAGTAGAATCTGGGATGTGGAAGACAGAAGCTAACTGGCCCCAGAGACATTAAATATTGACTTTGCTCTATGAACTCTGATACTAAATAGGCTTATTAAACAGCTCAGGGGTGAGCCCAGGAGCACGCACACAACTTTATGCCATCCCTTTTTCAGGCTCCATCTTCTCCATGATCAACTCCCCTACATTTTCCAGCTCCCCACCCTCTTTTCCTGGTCCTCTGACTGGAAAGCCAAGGCTGTGGTCTCCCAGCCCTGCTGTGTACTTTCCACAAATAGGTCTGCCTCCAGGACCAAGTGGGGGAGGGTAACAAGAGAACATTTGGATTCTTCCTCCACCGTGCTTTATGACCACAGTTCCTCTGGCCAGAGAGAAAGATTCTCCTATGTCGGACTTTAAGGTGCTTGCCCAGCCACTGCTGCTACCCTTACCACTGTCAAGTTGTAGCTTTGGGAGTGGGGCTTGGCTTGCGGGGAGGGGGCAGGGCCTGTAGAGAAAAATGAAGCAGAGAATTTCCCCTGCCTTCTCGGTTCTATAGGGGCTCCCTTCTCCTCCTTAGACCAGAATGAGAGAGCTTCTGTTGGAAATCTTTCTGACTGTGCCCAGGGCACAGTTCCATGATTTGCACTGCCTCAAGTCCAAGTTGGAAGGTATGGGAGGAAAAGAAAAATCTGGAAAGTCACAGCAGGATTGTCCTTACTTTGAGTTCTGATTTTTTTTCCCCAAATCCACCTGATACCATTTACAGAGTCCTCAGCTGTTCCATGCATTCTTTGTTTTTACTTTTTAATTTAAAATGTGTGTGGGTATATAGTAGGTGTACGTTCCATGCATTCTTTCCAGAGATTTTATTTGTTTTGGTGGGAGAGACAGAGTGGACTGTGCTTACTTCGTTTTAACCAGAACCATAACCCCAAATCTTTACTATAGCAAAGTAGAGGGAATCATACAGCGAACATCTATGTATCCATTGCCAGATTAGATTGCATCTTTTCTTTTAAACAGCATATCTGAGGATTGCCATGTTTCTAATATATTAAATATAGATCTGGTTTGTGTCAGAGTGCAAATCAATTATGTGGGGAAAAGAAAGAAAGATCAGACTGTTACTGTGTCTACATAGAAAGAAGTAGACATAAGAGACTCCATTTTGTTCTGTATTTGAGATGCTGTTAATCTGTGACCCTACCCCCAACCTTGTCCTTGCAAGAGTCATGTGCTGTGGTGACTCAAGGTTTAATGGATTTTGGGCTGTGCAGGGTGTGCTTTGTTAAACAAGTGCCTGAAGGCAGCGTGCTGGTTCAAAGTCATCACCATTCTCTTAATCTCAAGTACCCAGGGACACGTACACTGCCAAAGGTCGCAGGGACCTCTGCCTAGGAAAGCTAGGTATTGTCCAAGGTTTCTCCCCATGTGATGGTCTGAAATATGGCCTCGTGGGAAAGGAAAGACCTGATCGTCTCCCAGCCTGACACCCGTGAAGGGTCTGTGCTGAGGAGGACTAGTACTAGAGGAAAGAAGGCCTCTTGGTGGTTGTTGGCAGTTGAGATAGAGAAAAGCATCTGTCTCCTGCCCGTCCCTGGGCAATGGAACATCTCGGTGTAAAACCCGATTGTATGCTCTGTTTTCTGAGAAAGGAGAAAACTGCCTTAGGGCGAAAGGCGGGACTTGCTAGCGCAATGCTGCTCTTTATGCACTAAAAAGGTTTATGGAGATGTTTACATATGCATATCAAGGCACAGCACTTTTCCTTAAACTTATTCATGTCACAGAGATCTTTATTCATATGTCTTACTGCTGACTTTCTCCCTACAATGATCCTATTATCCTGCCACTTCCTTTTCTTTAAGATGGTAAAGATAATTATCAATAAATACTAAGGGAACTCAGAGACCAGTGCCAGTGTGGGTCCTCGGTATGCTGAGCTCCGGTCCTCTGGGCCCACTTTTTCTTTCTCTATACTTCGTCTCTGTGTCTCATTTCTTTTCTCAAGTCTCTCATTCCATCATTTCTTTTCTCAAGTCTCTCGTTCCACATAACAAGAAATGCCCACAGGTGTGGAGGGGTAGGCCACCGCTTCAAATTATTCCTGAAATGATGGAGAGATATTTCACCAACTTGTTCTCCTTGAGGTTTTTCTAAACATATGTTTGCATTACCTTGTCTCTGAAGCATGACTCTTTCTCTTAACTTTGCTTGAAGATTGAAATAATGTCAGGTGGGAAATAGAGTAATTCCTGATGTGTCTCTTTTTCCTGCTTTGAAGGTTTCACTAAGTTAAATATGTTTATAACTGATTAAATCATCTACAGTGGCATTACTCCATAACTAGTCAAATGTTTTTCATAATTCAAGCAAGGTCACTTTTGACCCAATCTGGCAGCTTCTTTATCTGAATGATGAGCCTTGAGTTTGACTTCTTCTAAGTTCTAACACCATTTGCAAAGAGCTAACAGTTGATCCCCTTCACCCTCAATATTTGTTCAGTGGCTGTTGTGCGTATGTCTCAGTGTTAACTACTGAGGATTCAACTAGACAGAAGTCCTTGCTATTTAAAGTGTGGTGCCAGGACTTGAAGCATGTACATCACCTGCAAGCTTGTTAGAAATGCAAGATCTTAGGCCCCACCCCAGGCCTGAATCAGAATCCGCATTAAAAAAAAAATTCCCAGGTGATTGTTTTCGGGAAGCACTGGTATGAGATAGAGTCATGGCTTTGCAGGGCCTACAGTCTCTCTGGGGAGCAAGGACAGAGACTGTACTAGCTGAGTGCCATTCAAGGCACTGCATGCTAGGGACCAAAGTGAGCAGCACCCCCAAGTCCTGGGAATAGGCAGACTGGATAAATGGAGGGTCTTACTCCAGACAGGAGTAAAGAATCCCAGGTGGGTGCAAGTGGTGCTCAGAGGATAAAAACATCTGCTCACAGAGCTTCTTATCTCTGGGAAGCTCCTAACATAGAATTGTTCCCCAAAGGAAATTATTGACCTCACCTATGACGAGACTGGCAATGAGGACAGGTTGTCAGTGACTGTTGGGCAATGTACACTTCACAGAGCTTCATGAGCCACCTGTGAGTGTGATTGGTGACACATGGTCTTAAGTAGTCTCAGGCATGCCAGTTTCACACCAGAAGAATTTGTTTTATGGAGGTTCTTCTCAGGGAGTTTACATCCGTGAGCCGTGATTCATTACCTCTGAGGAACAATGGCTCCACTCTGAATTTGTGGCTTTAGAGACTTAGGTTGTTTGCAGCTTGAATTCCCAGCTTTTAGATTTTATGATCGGAGCTTGGAATTTTAAAATATAGGCTGCTTTGAAATTAGGAATTACCTCTTAGGGAAAGAATAGATCTCCTATCAAAGAGTGATTTGTCACCTGTCTCAAATATTTCTGGCTTTTTTTTTTTTTTTTTTTTTTTTTTTTTTTTTTTTTGAGGTGGAGTTTCATTCCTGTTGCTCAGGCTAGAGTGCGATGGTGCAATCTTGGCTTACCGCAACCTCCACCTCCCAGGTTCAAGTGATCTTCCTGAGTAGCTGAGATTACAGGCATGCACCACCATGCTTAGCTAATTTTGTATTTTTAGTAAAGATGGGGTTTCTCCATGTTGGTCAGGCTGGTCTCGATTTCCTGACCGCAGGTCATCTGACCGCCTCGGCCTCCCAAAGTGCTGGGATTACAGGCATGAGCCACCGCACCTGGCCTTCTGGTCTCTTTCATATTTGAAAGCAGATTTAGTATTACTAAACATAGAGCATTGACTTGTAGGGAAGTCCAAATTAAGAGGTGGAATTGTGTTTAGGGAACATGCTTTGAAGAACCTCAAGTAGTCAGTCATTGTACATCATTTCTCTTTGGGACAAGGAGTCCAGAAATGAAGAGTGTTCTTCATGCTGGAATTGTAAACCTACAAATGGACTAACTCACCCTCTAGAGTGACAGCTGAAATATAAATTTGATAGGATATGCACATTAAGAGCAGGGTTTCTCAACAGTGGTGCTATTGACATTTGGGGCCAGATAGTTTTTTGTGGTTGGGGCTGCCCTGTGTATTGCAGGATGTTTAGCAGCATCCCTGGCCTCTATCTACTAGGTGCCAATATTAACCTCCCCCCACCCACAGCATGACAGTAAAAAATGTCTCCATACATTTTTCCAAATGTTTCCTGGGGGCAAAATCACCCCCAGTTTAGAGTTATGCCTCAATAATTTGGGACTTGCTGTTTTACTCTCCCAATATGAATTCTACTGAGAATAAGAGAATACATTAATGCAACTTGGGGGCAGCCAAAATAAATGCCAAAAGGCTTATGCACTTCACAAGTAGAAGTGTGCTGCAGGCCCTCATTCCTTACGCATTTACTCATACTGTGTACATCTGACAAACAGTTTCCAGATCACAAACACAACTGATTAGAAGAGGGAAATAAAATGTAGTGTGAGAGCTTACTTTGGGCAGGCACTTGTACTGAGGAAATGGATTACTTTTTCGTGGGGCTAAAGGAAACAGAAAAGCACACTTGAGTTTGCAGATAAGGAAGCTGAAGCTGACAGTTAGAATTAAGTTCACCAAGATCCCCATACTTGAAAGTGATAGAAAGTGACCAGAATTTGAGATTAGTTCTGCTTGATCCTGAAGATCAGGCTCATAGTGTCTGCCCTATGCTTCTTCTCTAACTTAGGGCCTGGCGTGCAGATGCATGTTTTTGCTTATGTCCCTAAAATAGCCAATGTTAACTGCTGGCTACGCTTCCTTCCACACTTTTCTCCCTGCTTATTTGGTAGACAATTCAGCATACAACTGCCCACAGCATCCCTACGGGTCAGTAAATCCTGGTCTCTTTCAGTCTGACAACTTTGTGCACATGTGTTTGCACACAGACAAATCGAAATAATTTTGTATAAATAAAATATTTTAAGTAGCATCTATATAAATGAGATGCTTTTTATAACTTGTGTTTCTTTTACCTGTGTGTTCCCTCTCCTCCTCTGGTAACTACACTTAACAATCTGAGATATATATGTTTATTTCTGTACTTTTCTCCTGCTCACATAGACATATCTATATTAATCAATCTACCTACCTACCCACCAACGCACCTATAGATGGATATAGATATGTACATATACATGTATGGGGTTTTCTTAATCACTCCTTTTTAACAAATGGGATTATATCATATTTATTCTCAATCTTATTTTCCATATTTAGCAAAACTCATGGAAATCTTTCCAAGTCAATTGTTGTAGCACTAATTCATTATTTTTACTGCTTGCATTATATAGTCTGACTATTCCATAACTTATTCAGCATTCCCATGTTGATAGGCCTTTACCTTGTACCCAGTTTTTAGTATTACACTTAATATCCTTATATATATAGCATTAGGTAATGACATTTTTATTTTTATGGGATAGATTCCCAGGAGTGGGATTGCTGGTTGTATTTTCAATTCTAATAGATATTGCCAGATACTTAAACAATAATCATTTCCATTTCCTTTCTTTGTCCATTTTTCTGAGTTTGTCTTTTTCTTCTCCATAGGTAAGTGTGCTTCATGGATTAGAGAATAACCATTTATCTTTATTAAAGATACATTTTTAAAAATCTGTCATTTTTAATTGACTTTGTTTATTATCTGTCTGTTCTCACTCTGAATTAAGAGACTGTACATTATAGTCTGGATTTTATTCTAATATGTTTATTGTTTGTGTGCTATTTTGTGAGTGTGGTATGATATAGCTTTTCATTTTATTTTCTTCCAGATGGAGAACCACTTGTGCCTGCACCACTTATTAAGTATACCCTTTTTTCCCCATAGAACCAAAATATCACTTTTGCTGCGTATTAAATTCTCTATTTCTTAGTTTTCAACAATCTAGTATTAATTTGGCCTTTGTTGATGAGGCAGTATATGCTGTGGCTCATCAGAGTGATAGATTCTCTTTTTCTGTCTTCTTGGGGAAGCATGGCTTGACAGTAATTCACCTTGCAGCCTGGTCTGGGAGCCTTGAGGTCATGCTCATGCTGGTTAAAGCTGGAGCAGATCAGAGAGCCAAGAATCAGGTAGGTATGTGGGTCACACCTGGACAAAAGCTCTTACCTCACCATTGCAGGAGAGAGGAAGTTCTGAGGTCACTGTGTATCTCCCCCACCCCTGGCTCTCTTCAGGATGGAATGAATGCCCTCCACTTTGCTGCTCAGAGCAATCATGTGCGCATCGTGGAGTATCTTATTCAAGATCTGCACCTCAAGGACCTGAACCAGCCTGATGAGGTGTGTTTACTTTGGTTGTATAGGTCTTGCATCCACCCCTATCAAATTTCACTTTCTCCTGCCTCTGGTACAGCTGTGAAAGCAGCCAGCACAGACAGACCCTGCCCTATGGCCAGCTCCTCCATCACGTTGACAGACCACAGAACCAAAGAGGAGTGTTGGTATTAGTGGCGATCCTGGCCCCTGCTTGTAGGGAGAACAAGAAGTGTTGAAGCAGCCAGATTCCTTCTTCCCATTCTACTCCCTCATCCTGGCTGGAGTGTGGACAGTATCCTATCCCCTTTAGTAATCAAAATGTGTATCTAAATTTTATTTTATTATGCTTGGCCTTTTGGTAATATATTTGACCCAAAGCTATGCAGTAATGAGCCATGAAATACAATGCAGTTTTATTGCATTTGTCAGTATTTCTTTTCTTTAAATAAGGGGATACATAACAATACTAGCTACTACTTAACGAGTATCTGTTAATGTAGGTACAGAGGAAAGCTATTTACATACATTATTTCAGTAAGAGGTCTTGGACCTGACACCTACTGATGCTCAACAAATCATTGCTGAATGAATGAATGATCTCACTAACCCCTACAATAATCCTATAAAGTAGAAAATATTTTGCTCATTTGTAGAGGAGAGGAAGTTGAGGCTCAGAGAGGCCAAACACCTGATCAAAAGTCTCACAACTAAAAAGTGACAGAGCCAGGACTTGACGCCAGGTCTGGCTGAATCCAGCCTTCATGCTGTGCTGTCTCCCTCCTCAGACTAACAGTGGATATTGTTCATGTCAGGGACTGTCCTTCCCCTGGAATATTTCCCTCTAGGCATTTTTTTTTCTTCATAGAGGAGTAGCCTTTGTGCAATTGGCATTTTGAGTTCTCAGCAGTAGAATATACTTCATGAATGGGACTTCCTTTTCTCTGTGCCACGAGAATACTATACTATAAAAGTTTCTTTAGAAGCTGGTCAGTGATAGTCACTTCATTTCACCTCTTTTTAAAAATTTTTACATTTTTTTCTGACTGTAATCTCCAAAACAACAATATTAACAATAAGAAGTATTTCTTCAGATTAGGTCTGTATACTTCTTTGACTTCCTCTACATATGATTAAACAACTATACATTTACAGCTTAGAAGAAGATAGACTTGGGCTTTGGTCTGGTCAGTACCACCATGCACTAGCTGTGTGGTTTTAAGCAAGCTCTTCAATTTCCGAAACTCTTAGTTTCTCCATCTATACAATGGAAACAATAAAATCTACTTTATGGTAACAACAGGGGTGACAGGAGAAGTCTTGTCCCACATATAATTTTTTTTAAATCAGCAAACCTCCATTCTTTGGTATATAATGATTGACATTTCCTCAATCTTATGTAAAAGTACCTATGCAAATGAACTTCATGATGAGCCATTCCATAACCCCTTTTCACTTATGCCATTCCTGTGTAGGAATGTTGGAATAGCTGAGATGCTTAAATGAGCTAATGACTATAAAGCACTTAGCAACGAGCCAGGCACATTGTAAGTGCTCACTGTTGTAACAATTGTTATAGGATAAAATATCCTACCTGATTTTCTGAAAGTGACAATCATAGTCAAATGCCATTTAGTATCAAGGTGAGGAAGCTGGATCTTTCTAATTTTATCCATGCCAAGTAGAGACGTGGCCAATTAATGAATTCCATTCAGTTCAGTTCAGCAGATATTCCTTGACGGCCTGTTATGCATGAGACACACAGTTATTTTCCCCTTCGATGTGCTCTGATTGCTTCCATGAGAGAGAGTAGTGTATGGGAAGGATGGGAAGGATCAGGCAGGCTGATGGGATTCAGAAACCAAAGCACGTTTGCAGGGAGCCTTCCCCATTTCTTGAGTTTCTGCTGGCCAGCAGCCTTCCTCTCCGTAACTCTTTTCAGCCGATTCTGGACATGTCCTCTCCTCTCACCTTCTTCCTCCTCTGTCTGTTGGGAAAAAGGGTTTAGGAGCACTGGCAGCAAACTGCAGAGTGACATGTCCAGCTGCGAGATCTTAAATTGAGTTCAGAGACATACAAGGAATGAGCAAATAATGAGTCCACTGGGTCATCTAGGGAAAGAAGACTCTTTGAGTCTGAGCCCAACTTTAGTCCCTTCAGAAAACTAAATTGATGAATAGAAAAGAAAAAAAAAAATCTACTTTTTTTCCTAAGATCTGTGAGTGGGTCACACCTGTTGGCAAACATCAGTTGGAATGGTAGTTGCCAGGAACTAGGAGGAAGGGAAAGTGGGGAATTATTGTTTAATGAGGACACAATTCCAGTTTTGCAAGATGAAAAAGGTTATGGAGATGGATGGTAGTGATGGCTATCCTTATGAGTATCCTTAATACCACTGAACTATACACTTAATAATGGTTAAGATGATACATTTAGTTATGAGTACTTTACCATAATAAAAAATTATGGGGGGAAATTCCAGTTGCAGCTGTGATCAGAAGCTCAGGTTCTATCAATTTACTGTTGGGTTTCCCATTTGCATCTGCTTAAAGGTATTGTGGAGTTTGTGAAATACATTTGATATTTAAGACGTCTTCACCTTCACAGTGTTACTCTCTTGCCTAGTTTCTTATCAACAGAAAGTGATTGAGAGCCTGTGTACCTGCCAGGGTTGGTAAAATCCATCTCTTTGGCCTGGAGGGAACTCCAAAAGCTAACAAGGAAAGCTTTCCTGGAAGGAGGCCCTTAACACAAAATGGATTTAACTAGGCCAGGGGGAGTTTGGGTGGGGAGAGATGGAGGATGCTGGGAAAACTTTTGAGATTTCCCCCAGCTCCACAGCCATAAAAATCATTGAGGCCTTTCCAGGGGAGAGAGATTAGTGCAGCAAGGAGTTAGGAATAAAGTATAGACATTTTGAATCTACATATAAATGTCCATCTGGTGATCAAAAATAAATACTCAGACTAACATGTTTGGGGAGGGAGAGAAATAGGAAGGCCTCACACGCCATTCATGTATTTGTTCAATATTTACAAGAATTTGGGGGTACAGTGTTGCTTTGGTTTCAACTACGAATATGGTAGACTTCCATTGGTTTAAAGTCTCTGGAAGTCAAAATGCAAAGAAGCTGCTTTTTCTGGGAGGGAAGGAGATAGTGAGTAGAAGGGAACTTGAGAAGACACCTGTTTTCTTATACAGACCCAAGGCAACATTTAACAATTTTAGATTTAATCAAATCTATTGTTTCCTGTCTGTGAGGGGAGAACTAACCCACTGTCTCCCACCCCACCAGTGTCACTTTTTCATATTTAACATGCTGCTTTTTCTTATTTTTAACCTCATGACACATATTTTTTTACCTGTGAAATTTCTAGTTATTCAGGGTTTTCCCCTTCCTCAAGTGCCTGATCCTGGGGTAATGGGAAATGCTGTGGGCGGGAGCATGCACTGGAGGCCCACCCAGCGCCTCTCCTCAGAGGCTCCTGAGAGCGACACATCTCAGGGATCCCTGTGGTAAAGGAAGGTCAGGTTGGTCTTTGGATACCCACTTAATGGCTATTTATGAAATTTTTGCTGAATCTCATAACATCAAATTTGATGATTTCATCTTCTCAGTAAACTTAAAAATAATTTATAATAAACAATTCCAATCCCTCAGACTTACATGCCAAAAAAAAAAAAATAAATAAATGCATTGAGTTAAAACATATCAGGTTAGCCAGGCACAGTGGCTCACACCTGTAATTCCAGTACTTTGGGAGACAAAGGTGGGAGGATCTCTTGAGTTCAGGAGTTTGAGAACTAGCCCGGGAAGCATGGTGAATAACTGCCTCTACAAAAAAATACAAAAAATTAGCCGGCATGTGGTGGTGCGCACCTGTGGTCCCAGCTACTTGGGAGGCTGAGGTGGGAGGATCACTGGATTCCAGGAGATGGCAGCTGCAGTGAGCTGAGATCATGCCACTGCATTCCAGCCTGGGTGACAGAGTAAGACCCTGTTATAATCAGGTTAAATAGATATTGAGTTAATAGAGGAAAGAAAGAACAGGAATCCTGGACCCTCCTTATTTTAGTACTTAAACGGACAGGATCCTGAGCCAGGGAGTCTTTGTGATTGGCCCAAGGCCTGGAGCCCAGGGCTCTGACACCAAGCTCCACCATCCTTCTGGCTGGAAAAGCTTCCTGCCTTCCAAGTAAGGGAGGGCCTATGAGACTGCCCTGGATAGAGGCCTACTTGAACGTGATGAAAAAGGATTGGGTAGTTAAAAAAAAAAAAAAAAGGACATAATAAGAAACTATTTTTTAAAAACCACATATATCTTTGAAATTCCTGTTATTTTGTCTAATAATATGTACTCAATGAGAGAAAAGATTTATATCTCACTATGCTATAATCTCACCTTTCTTTATGCTACCTTTTCATATATTTATTATAGGTTACTTTAAGTGTCTTTACTTTGTGTAATTTTGCTTTTACATCTTTTTCCTGGATGATAACTGTTAAAATTTAAAGGGCTTCCAAAGTTCAAACTAATAGTGTTTCCAAAGGAAAGGAAAGATCTTTCATCTGTGGTAACTGTAGTCTTTTCTCAGAACCTCCCATCTCTTAGCAGGTGAAGCTTTCTTTCACTTTGTTATCTATGCAGTAATGCAAAACTTTGTAGCAACCACAGGTAAAAGAAAAGCACCATTTTAAAATTGAACAGATTAGTATTGTTACCAAACTGAGAAATATGTATTAGTTAGAATTCTTTCTGTTGCAAAGACAAAAATCCATCTTGATTGAGATTAAGCAAAGAAGGTAATTTATTAACTTGTAACTAAAGAGTATGAGGGTGTATCTTTCCAGCTTCAGGCATGGCTGGACCCAGCTCTTTTTCTTTGTCCATTTCTTAGCTGTCTGCATGTTGGCATTATTCATAGGTATACTTTTCATATAGTAGGAAAGATAGCTGTTAGCAGCCTCAGGTTTAATATCCTTATGGATTTCAATCCATAAGAAATAGAAATAATAATCTGTCATTAAATGTTTATGTATAAATCTCAGGAACAACTGGCCCTACCTGAATCATATGCCCAATCTCGAACCAATCACTGTGACGGCAGGTTATGTAATCACTTCATGTGGCAGAAGGCAGGCAGATAAGACTTGGAAATGGACAGCACTAAATGGGCTAAATGACAGGGTTTGTGTATGTGTGGTTGTTCTGCAAAGTAAAACAAAGTTACTAGAAGAAAGGTAAATATAAAGGCAAAAGCAACAAATGCCACACTAGGGCACAACACCTTCATGTATTATTTGTGGTCTCTGTGCATAAAGAGCTAACAAAAGCTCTTTCCTTCTGCATGAGCCAGGGGTCATTCTCCAATGTAAAAGATAACAGGCAAGAATCAGGTAACAAGTTCTCTTTTCTCCTGTTCCAGTGCATTAGCAACCTTTAAAGGCCTTCTTCCACCACTTCTCACCACCTACCTTTCCAGCCACAAACACACTTATGCTGAGTTATATAACCCCATATATCACCAGCACTCAGTTACTACATTACATTATAATTACTTGCTTATGTGTCCATCTCTCCTTTTGGACTCTGAACTTGAGGATGGGCAATATATTTCTCACCCTAGTCACTCTATTGCTTAGCACATTATCTGGCATATTCATAGGCATTCAATAATTGTTGAAGAAATTAATGAATTATTTATGAGGATATGTGATCAGATGTTTTCATCTAGTATATAATCACTGTCTCTTGTTCCCTCTTTTGTGATTTGTTTACATGAACCTTTACCTGTAGTCACTATTTGCACATATTTGTATATCAAACACAATAATTTTTGGTCTGTCGTTTCCAAAGAGTTGCTCATGACTCAAGATTAAATTTTACTCTTCAATTAGTGCAGAAAACTGTGGTTCTAAGCAATCTCTGTTTCTTTCCTTTGCCATTTCTAGGGATCTCCTGAGAATGAAATCACTGAACCCTTTAAAGGGTTGGAGATGTAGATCTCATTGGTGACATATGTGGCCCAACAATGATGAATTAGGTGAAGTTTTTGGTGCAAATTTGTTTCTCCAGCTTCCATACATGCATAAATACAGACCTCTGTAGGACTGATCTTTATAGATTTGTTTTTGTTTTTGCTTTTTACCATTTATTATTTCAGCATTTTTTCTTCCTTTTTTCTCCAGTTACTGGGAGCTCCTATGTTGTTATCTCAGGTTAACAGTGGCCACGATCTTTTCTTTACCCTATTTTATCAAGTGTTAGATGAGGCTTGTATCTATTTTTTAACATTAAGACACCTTGCTAAGCTTTCAGTTAGTAACACACTAAGCCAATTTGTGAGTGTTTTCTCTTTAATTGAAGAAAATACTTCTGCTATCATATTGCCACCACAACTTCCTTTTCCTTCTTTTAATTATCTCAAGTTACAACATTACATTTTCTGTGGATCTGCTATAGTTTGGCTATGGTTTGTCCTCACCAGAATTCATGTTGAAATTGGATCCCCAATCTGGTGGTGTTAGGAGGTGGGACCTCTTGGAAGATGTTTGTGTCATGAGGGTGGATCTTCATGAATGGCTTGGTGACATTCTTCAGGTAGTGAGTTCTCACTCTGGTGGGACTAGATTCATTCTCATAGGAATAAATTAGTTCCCACGAGGGTGAGAGCTAGGATGCCTCTTGGGTTTTGTCTCTTCACACATGTTCGCATCCCTTTGACTTTCTCTGTCATGTTATGACACAGTGTGAAAGCCCTTGCCAGAAGCCAAGACCATGCCCTTGAACTTCCCAGCCTGCAGAACTGTGAGCTAAATAAACCTCTTTTCTTTATAAATTACCCAGACTGAGGTATTCTGTTATAGCAACACAAAACAGACTAAGACAAGTCTTTCACTTTTCTTGATGACATTTTGGCTATGGAAAATATAGTCTCCATTGGCAACATAAAAAGTAGGAGGAATTCCATAATCAGAAAATTCTATATTTGAGCTTATCTTCTAAAAAAATCAAACCTAAACATTTCTCTTAAAATGTCACTAGCTTTGTCCACTGTCGTGCTTGTTCACTAAGAGTGTAATAAATGCTTGAGGTTTGTGATTGATTTTTAGAAAGGAAGAAAACCATTTCTTTTGGCAGCTGAGAGGGGCCATGTTGAAATGATAGAAAAACTTACCTTCCTAAACCTGCATACTTCAGAAAAGGACAAGGTGAGTTGGACTTTTATTTCTTTGCTGAGAACAAGAGAAAGGGGAGTAACAATTGATGTAGAGGGGTAACAATTGGCCTGTAGATTTGGTGAGGGACTTTTAGTCAGCAGAAGAGTTGTAAGTTGTTACTGTACTCAGAGAGAATCATGAACTATCCAGGCCAAATCCTTCCACTGCTGCTGTGGGTTGTCCAGATTGGCAGTTTTTGCTTCATAATGTTTGTGAAGTCAATAGACCACATGGATTTTTCCATGATCAACTCCACCCCTCTTCTCTCCTCCCATGAGGTCTCCTGGAGCCTCAGCCTTACATGAAAGGGGAGGGGAAAACCCTGGGGTAGACATTGTATCTGTATGTACACCTTTGATGACTTTCTTAGGAGAAATTCCTAGATATGGAATTGTGGGTCAAAGGCTTCTGCACATTTTAAAATCTTTGGGTATATAATATTGCTAAAATGACCTCCCAGAAATCTTTCACCATTTTACCCTCACATAGGTCAAATGGAATTTCTTCTGTTGCTCCATGTTTTGCTAGCAATTAGTAGCAAAGTTAGAAGAAGGAGCATGGATGATTTTTTCCTACTGGTTCAGAAAGCTATACCTTTTTATTTAAAACTTAAAAATGTATAAATTTCACTTAAAACTGCAGATACAGTGGTCCACACTGTGGACCGTGCTTTAACCAAAATGAAAACTTCCAGAAACTCCATTGCAGCCCTTACTGTTGAAGGAACATGCTCTCCCAGCACAGGGCATTCTACCCCGAGTGTGTCTCTGTTGCAGGAGGGAAACACTGCCTTGCACCTCGCTGCAAAGCACGGTCACAGTCCTGCAGTGCAGGTGCTGCTAACCCAGTGGCAAGACATAAATGAGATGAATGAGGTATGTGGAAGTACGCATTACAGGCACAGGACTTAAATGGGGAAGGGTTGGAGGAATGGCTTTCAAGAAAAGAGTGGGAGGAAAACAAAGGTGTTAGTGCCATAGGGTGTAAAATGTGATGCTGAAAGATTCTTACTTTATTCTTCAAAGTATTCCACAGCACTTCATTTGTTAATCCATTCATTTATTCACCCGTTCATTCAAATAATATTTGTTCAATATGTACTGTATGCCAGATGAAGTATGTACTCTTATTCCAGAAGCCTACAGGGCAAGAAGGGCATGCAAAACAAATAATGTATCGGGCTACATGCAATAATAGAGGTCTACAGAGAATGCCATGAGAACACAGAGGAAGATGTTTTTCAGAAATTACAGTTTTCACAGAAGAGGTGATATATTATCTGGGTCTTGGCATTGTAATGAATGTTGGCAGGAAGGATTTTGAGGATGGCACAAGTATAAAGTATTTCAGAGGGAAAAGTCCAAGGAAAAGAACCGAGGCAAGAGTATGGTGTGTTCTGGGCTGACAAGCTCAGGGTGGTAGACATTGTGACTAGGAGGGCTGGGAAAGCTGGAAGCCTAGTAGGCCAAGGCAGACAGATGACGAAAGGCCATGCTTTACAGGAGGGAGGGTTTGGCTTTGATGTGGTTGCCAGCAGAGACCTTGAAGGGTTTTAAGTAGTGAAAAGGGATAGAATTCATCTTAGGTGTGGGCAGGTAACTGTCACAGCCGTTTGAAAGGTAGACCGGGTGCCAGGAGAGCCCAGAAGTGGGGAGGACCAGTCAGGTGACTGCCAAGATGGGGAAACAAGACCTATGGAAGGCCTCTCACTGAGACACTCATGAGCAACAAACAGGATGAAGTGGTAGGAGGAGGCAGAGTCCACAGGACTTAGGACCAGGACTTAGAGAGAGGGAGGACTTTCTGCCCCCAGCTGTCTGACTTGGGCTGTTGCTGGGGAGTACAGGTGTGGAGCAGGTGAGTGGGGTAGGTAATGAGGGCTTGAATGGGTTTGTTTGAGGCACTTGGGAGGGGGGTACATTCAGGTGGAGTGTTAGTGAGCTGGAAACTGGTTCTGGGGCCGGGCATGGTGGCTCACGCCTGTAATCCCCGCAATTTGAGCAGCCGAGGTGGGTGGATCACCTGAGGTCAGGAGTTTGAGATCAGCCAGGCCAACATGTGAAACACTGTCTCTACTAAAAATACAAAATTAGCTGGGTGTGGTGACAGGTGCCTGTGATCCCTGCTACTCGGGAGGCTGAGGCAGGAGAGTCGCTTGAACCCGGGAGGCAGAGGTTGCAGTGAGTCGAGATTGTGCCACTGCACTTGAGCCTGGGCAACAGAGCAAGACTCCATCTCAAACAAAACAAAACAAAACACAACCAAAAAAGTAAAAAGAAACTGGTTCTGGATTTGGTGGAGGCGATATGACTGTGGCTATGCAGGGCAAGTTTGTGAGTCATTTGCCCTGGATGGTCACTGCTTAACCTATGGTCCAGTGATTTTTTGTCTGGCTCTTTGGAAACTCGGGTCAGTGGGGTCCTCTTGGATTTCACAGTTTAATGTTCTGATCATTTCTAAACTTGATGCCTCACCTGAGAGCTACCGAAAGAACTAGTATCATAAGCATTTACCTTAAGATACCATTGATTGTAAGGCACGCCATTATTTTATGTAACACTCAGAAAAAATAATGCTGCCATTTAACTGTGACAAAAAACTTTATTGTCACTTAAAATATTTATTTTATGCTGCATATTTGAAGATGTTTTTAGACTGTTAGTTTTTTACGTGTATATATAAAGAAAAAAATAAGCAAGATAACTCCGTTAATTGTTTGTAAACTTCATGCTGAATTAGATTCTTCTAAATCACTTATTCAGTCTTGATGATTTCTTTCTTTTTTCTTTTTCTTTATTTTTTTTCTTATAGCGTCAGGGTCTTGCTTTGTCACCCAGGCTGGAGTACAGTGGCATGGGAGATGCAGCATTTCTTAAAGAATGCCCCACTGTTGTTTCTAAGATTTTCTTCTAAGCCACTGATACCCATTCCAGTGTAATGCATGTGCTCAAACACCAACAATTATGTCCACCTGGTTGACTGAGCTAGCCCTCATGATTTAATCACCACATAAAAGCCACCTCTTAATCTTATTGCATTGGGGATTTAAGTTTCAACGTGAATTTTGGAGGGACACAAACATTCAAACCAAAGCAGAGATCAAGTCCTGTAGTCACAGGATTTATAGTCTTATTTATAGTATTAGTTATGCTTTCCCTGTTCTATTAAAACGTATTTAAACCACTGGAATGTGTGCATGCATGTGGATTTCATCTTCCTTTTAGCAACTTTGGAGTCAGGGCACATTGGGGAAAATTCATAAAGCCCAAAAAACTTTAATTTCAGATTATGATAGGTTTAATTTGCACAAAATTAAGGGCACAGTGATAATAATATCATCTTTTTGCATATGATTCATAATGTTTGTCCATTTGTGGACAGCCTCTGCTTCCTGATACAAGCTGTTGCCAGATCAGTTAGAGGGACCCATGTGAATGTGCTCTAAAGCCGTGGTCTCCAGACATTCTTGGCAGCAAACTCATATCAGTAAAGAAAGTTTGAGCATGTGGCTATCACATATACATTTATAATTCAATTAATTCATTATAAAGTATATGCTAGAAATATAAATGTTTAAAATTCAAGATAAAAAATAAATAGCAGTTTTGTATTTTCTCTAAACTCACAGAATTATTATTATTTATTATTATTAGAAATAGAGTCTCATTATGTTGCTCAGGCTGGTCTCAAACTCCTGGCTTCAAGTGATCTTCCCTTCTCAGCCTCCCATGCAACTGAGATTACAGGTGTGAGCTACCATGCCCAGCTCAAAGGATGATCTTATACACATCTGATGGATTTTATTGTGTTCCTCTGCATATATGTACAATATATTTTTCATAGCTGTCCCAAATTCACTTAACTATTCTTTAGCTCTTGGTTATTTAGTTTCAGTTTTTGTTTATTATAGGTTGTGCTGTCACAGACCTCTTTGTATATAAACCTGAGTCTGATTTCCTCACAATTGCCTTGGAGTATATCCTTAGAGGCAGATTGCAGGGTCCAAGATATGAAACCTTATCAGGCTCTGGATATGAATTCTTTCCTTTACACATCTTTTTAACAAATATTTTCCCCACTGGGATTTGTCTTTTTGCATCCATTTTCCTGGAAAAATGAGAAGGAAGATTATGAGGAGAAATGCCTTTTTTGTTTGTGTGTTTGTTTGTTTTTTTGAGATGAAGCTTTGCTCTTGTTGCCCAGGCTGGAGTACAGTGGTATGATCTCGGCTCACTGCAACCTAAGCCTCCCAGGTTCAAGTGACTCTCCTGCCTCAGCCTCCAGAGTAGCTGGGATTACACGGGCCCACCACCACGCCTGGCTAATTTTTGTATATTTAGTAGAGATGGGGTTTCACCATGTTGAGTAGGCTGGTCTTGAACTTCTGACCTGAGGTGATCTGCCCGCCTCAGTCTCCCAAAGTGCTGGGATTACAGGCATGCGCCACCATGCCTGGCAGAGAAATGCCTTTATAAGCAGATGGCTGTCCCAGGCACCCAGGTAAAGCAGCCTGGAATATGATTTTCCCACCTTGTTGGAATGGGAACACTGGTTTCTATACTCTTGTGTTCCTGTTAACATGATTGTTCATACCTAATTCGCTATGAGTAAAGCCTTCTGAATTTATCCTAAAGTAGTTGTTAAGCAGATTAATGTCCAAGGAGGGAAATGGTTAGGGAATGGGGAAGGAATTCTGCATTTCTTCCCAACATTTTTAGGAAAGAGTCTGCATGAGGAAAGGGAAATAGCCAAGTAGCTATTGTGTGGGACCAGCTCCTTCTTTTTCCTCATTTTGGCCTGAATTAAACTCTTACTTCGTCCTCCTAGTATTTATCTTGAGTTTCAGGAAACTGAAGTACTGAGATTTTTTAAAGTAATGTTATTTTTTAAAATGTCATGTAACATTTAATCAGTTGTAAAGATTAAAGTTATACTTGGTGCAAATGGACTTCTAATTTTGTGTGTTTCATACTGTACTATAGTTCCTTATTTCTGAGATTATCTTTCTTTCTTTTTTTTTTTTGTTTTTGTTTTGAGACGAGGTCTCACTCTGTTGCCTAGGCTGGACTGCAGTGATGCAGTCCTGTCTCACTGCAGCCACAACCTCCTGGGCTCAGGTGACCCTCTCACCTCAGCCTCCTAAGTAGCTGGGACTACAGGCATCCACCACTATGCCTGGCTAATTTTGTAAACTTTTTGTAGAGATGGGGCTTTGCCATTTTGCCCAGGCTGGTCTCTAACTCCTGGGCTCAAGTATCCTGCCTGCCTCAGCCTCCCAAAGTGCTGGGATTACAGGCTGAGTCACTGAACCCAGCCACTTTGACACTTTTCAGCTGAGGTTTAGTTTTCTTATCTGTAACATGTGGAAAATATTAACCCTGCCCTTATAGCATTGTGTGATTTAACTGTGCCAAAGCATATAGTCTTGGCAGTACAAGTTGACACATAGTTGTTCAATAAATGCTATCCATTATTAAGAGTAATGCACAAAAGGCATAGAGAAAGCATGTTGTTTGTCAAGTAATTTCATTCCATGACAAGGGGCAATTAAATTTAACTTATTTTTCCTTTTGTTAGAATGGAGAAACACCATTCTTTCTGAGTGTTGAAGGAGGTCATGAAGAGTGCAGCAAAGTGCTGCTGACAGCAGGAAGTGACATCAACATTCCAAATAAAGTATGTGTTCCAGACCATGTTCACTCATGCAGTGGGAGGGAGACTTAAAATATTCTTTGGAAACTCTGGTCCTACATTGATCCACTCACTGGTACTTTAGAATTAATATTTATAATACGCTTTGTTTTTGGTAAGAATTAGTGATTTACCTCCAATATTTCCCAGTTACTATGTCCTCAAAAGCAATGCTATTCTTTCTATTCTTCTGGGGAAGGAATAATTGAAAGTGGGGCAAAATGAGCAAGTACTTGTCACTTCTTAGAAACAGACACTCTATTCTACTTTGTTTTCTCATAGCAACTAGTGCACACCTGGCTTATACAGAGAAGACGCTGAAAAAAACTTTATTGTGTGAAACCTCAAGTGGTCAGCCTGGTGCATGAAGAAGGAAGGATGGTGCCTTCCTCTAAATGCAGAATACTTATGTATGTAGTCATTGTGCTAAGAACCTTTGAAACTTTTGAGACTGTGTTATTATTTTCATTTTTTTAGATCACAAAAATAGAATTTGGAAAAGTTAAGGAAATCATTCAGGATCATACAACTAGTCGATAGCAGTGCAAGGATTCAAACTCCTGTCTGACGCCAATGCCTCAGCTTTTAACCCCTGCAATGGCCTTGTCTTCAGATGGTTTAGTTTCTTTTCCTGTTTTTCTAATTAATTATAATGAAAACTCATGACAAAAAATTTGAATAGCACCAAAGGGAATATGATAAAAAAGTGTCTTACTCCAACCCCACATCACAATTTTACTCCCCAGAACTAACATCCTTAATAGTTTATTTAGTCTTCCAGGAATTTTCCATGAATCCACATGGAAAATGTGATTAAATCCATACACATATATATACCAACACCATATAAACAGTAGCACAGTATGTAATATATGCTGCTCTGCACCTTGTTTTCTTTTGATTGCCAATATATTTTAGAGATCTTTCTATCTGCACAATGTATAAACAATTTCTTTTCAGCAAGTACAAAGTTAAACACAGAAGAATAAAGTCCCAATCAAGAATAAAGTCCCAAACTGGCATGTTTGATACCCTGTATTCTGCTGGTGGGAGTGTATATTTGTATAATCTTTCAAAAAGCAATTTGTTCACTTTCCTTTTACCCACACATGGTGGATTATGTTAAGGAAATAATTTGAAAGGTGGAAAGCTAGCTGCATGCATTCAGATAAATGATAAAGTTAGCTTCAATAGCCAAGAATTAGATATAACATATACGTGGAATTAATGGTAGGAGAAGGCTGAAAGAAGGTCTGGTGCTTCTACTTCTTGGAAAATTATGTAGCTGTTACAAATTATAGTGATAAATACTAAAAATATATTGCAATATTGAACATGTTAATCATAGAACACTAATTGAAAAATATATTATAGTCGAGTAAATATTAATATAATATTGGATTTATATATACATGGACAAGGATTGTGACAGGAAAATCAAAGTAGCATGAGTTGATTCCCACTGAAGTTGCAAGGTTATTGATGCAATAAATAAACAAAGTTAAGAATTCATGGGAGCCAGCCGGGCGCGGTGGCTCAAGCCTGTAATCCCAGCACTTTGGGAGGCTGAGACGGGCGGATCACGAGGTCAGGAGATCGAGACCATCCTGGCTAACACGGTGAAACCCCGTCTCTACTAAAAAATACAAAAAACTAGCCGGACGAGGTGGCGGGCGCCTGTAGTCCCAGCTACTCCGGAGGCTGAGGCAGGAGAATGGCGGGAACCCGGGAGGCGGAGCTTGCAGTGAGCCGAGATCTGGCTACTGCACTCCAGCCTGGGCCACAGAGCCAGACTCAGAAAAAAAAAAAAAAAAAAAAAAAAAGAATTCATGGGAGCCATGAAATATTCAGAATGTGGAGAGCTGTGCTGCTGTTCAGTCATTGCACAGGTGCCTCCTTGTCCCCAGTCTGTATCCCCCTTCAAGTTCCTGGGAAAGCTTCCCGGGTTAGCAAGACTCTCAGGCTTACTCCATTATTTTATACCCTGCCTCACCCTCGTCCTTAATTATTTTGCCCTTAAGTATTTTGCTTTGTAGTGATTTTTCATATGCACACATTCTCCCCATCCGACTAAGACTGCAGGCTCCATATTGCCCCTGTCCTTACAGCCAGCGGCCTCAGTTGCTCTAGGCAGCCTGGAAATGATCGGGAATCCATTTTTTAGCTTTTACTTCTAGAGTTTTTCCCGAGTTCATCAGCTCCCTTCTGAATCAGCAACCTCAGCCCCCACTAGCTATCCACACCTATCTGTCCAACCCGGTGAAAACCTTGGGGGGGAAAAGCAGTGTGAAGCAAGAAGCCAACAGCAAGAACACACATGAGCCCGGGATGGGTTGAACTTTGTTTTGCTTTCACATTTGTAGGTGATTGCTGTGTTTGATCTTGGAAACGCTTCACCTGCTGACACTGATGAGTCTTGGTTTCCAGGAGTTTGCTTTTGTGCTCCCTCCCACCTTGCCATCAGCAAGGGGAGGGGGTAAAGGGTTAAGTCGTTTCTTTTTTTTTTTTTCTTTTTTTGAGACGGAGTCTCGCTCTGTTGCCCAGGCTGGAGTGCAGTGGCCGGATCTCAGCTCACTGCAAGCTCCGCCTCCCGGGTTCCCGCCATTCTCCTGCCTCAGCCTCCCAAGTAGCTGGGACTACAGGTGCCTGCCACCATGCCCGGCTAGTTTTTTGTATTTTTTAGTAGAGACGGGGTTTCACCGTGTTAGCCAGGATGGTCTCGATCATCCTGACCTCGTGATCCCCCCGCCCCCCGTCTCGGCCTCCCAAAGTGCTGGGATTACAGGCTTGAGCCACCGCGCCCGGCCCGGGTCAAGTCGTTTCTAAGGAGGATGTTGGAGTGAGATTATGAATGTAGTTGACAGCCGGCTTTCTCCGTTTATGTTGGGTGGAAGAACTGCCCAGAGTTAGGGCAACAGGCTCTCTTTAGCGCCCTATTAACTGCCCTGGGTCCAAAAAAGGCTTTTGTAGGTCCTAAGAACTCATATTCCTGGAGGTCCTACCTCACATTTTATCATACATATTTAAGTGCTCCCACATTCCTCTTTACATTTTTTTTTTTTTTTTTTTTTTTTTTTTTTTTTTTTAGAAAAGGTGTCTTTTTTTTTTTTTTTTTTTTTTTTGCTGTTAATTGCTCTAAAAGGCTTTTTTGTTTTTGCTTTTTGCAATTATTTGGCTATGACAGACTCACCTAATTTATGAGTGACTCTGATTTCTTAGAACTCTGTGTGCATAATTGGGAATTTGAGGGAGGTGAAAAAATGCAACCTGCAAATTGTTTATAAATATAATGAATATTTTATGAACATTACATTTAACAATCAATGAAGTATGAATGTCAGTTAAATATTTATTCACTTCAATTTTGTGGTTTTCTTTTGGTATCGTGGAACCAATAATTTTTTTCTTTTTTACATTTTAACGGTTTCTTTGGCTCATAAAAAGTCTGTAGGCCCTATACACAGAGCCTATGATGCCTAAAGGTAAATGCTGTGGACTCCCGCAGCTCTTCCTACTACAGGGTTCCTGCTTTGAGTTTCTCGGAAATTTGTTTCTGCTTTAGGTGGCTTCTGATCTTGCCAGTGAGGGCACTGCTGACCATTCTGATCTCAGTTTAACTGTCACCTTATCCAAGAAGGCTTTGTTGATCAGCCATGAGAAAGTAGCCAACCAGTCATGCTATTTTACGTCTTATTATAGAACTTACAACTAGCTGATGTTATTCTTCTAACAACATCTATAATCTAATAAGCAGATTTAAGTCCACTGTTTGGTGATCTACCAGTCTACCAATCAATGGATCAATTGATTGTCCACCGCTACTGAAATGTAATGTCTGAGATCTTGTCAGTTTTGTTTACCAACATATCCCTCCACTATCTAAAATAGTGCCTGGCACAGAATAAGTGCTCAATGTTTTTTTTTTGTGTGTGTGTGGAATGGATAAAATAATAGTTACGGTTACCATACACATTTACTGGCTCGTGTATCCTCCCAGTAGTACTGTGATTTCAGACAAAGAGGTAGGATGATGTGGTAGGCAGAATCAGGCTCCCCACCCCAGAGATGTTCACATCCCAGTTCCCAGAACCTATGAATATGTTATATTACATGGCAAAGGAGAATTTAAGTTGCAGATGGAATTAAGGTTGCTAATTAGCTGATCTTAAAATGAGATTCTCCTGGATTACTAGGCGGGCCCAGTGTAATCATGAAGAGTCCTTTAAAGTGGAAGAGGGAGGCAGATGAGGATGTCAGTGATGCAGTGTGAGAAGGACTCAGCTAACTGTTGCTGGTTTTGACAATGGAGCAAGGGGGTGTGAGCCAAAGAACATAGGAGGCTTCTAAAACCTGGAAGAGACAAGGAAGTGGATTCTCCTGAGAGCCTCCAGAAGGGAACATAGATCTGTGAATTTTTTTTTTTTTTTTTTTTTGGTTAGCCCAGTGGGATCCATTTCAGACTTCTGACCTCCAGAACTATAAAATAATACATTTTATTAAGCCACTAATTTTGTGGCAATGTCTTATAACAGCAATAGAAAACTATTATGGGGACAGTTTTGCAGATGAAGACAAAGAGGCCCATACTTGATAGGCCACTTATCCAAGGTCATATAGGCATTTAGTATCATGCAAGCTAGATTTCAGTTGGTCAGAGATACACAGGTCATTGCTGTTGGCATCTGTCCCATTATCTATTGCTTCCTGACAATTCAACCCAAAGCTCAGTGGCTTAAAACAACAATCTATTATTATTTTCACGGCTCTGTGAGTTGACTGGGCTCAGCCGAGAGGATTCTTACTTTGAGTTTATCATGTGATTCCAGTTGGAAGTCGGCCAGGATTTTGAAGGCTTACCTGAGCTCAATATCCAAGATAATGCTGGCTGTCATCTGGGAGCTCACCTGGGCCTCACCATGGGCCTCAACCTACAGCCTGGGAACTGGCCTCTAAGAGGAAGGATTACAAGAGCAGGCATTACAAAAGGCAGAGAGCAGCAGCTGCCAGGCTAGTTAGGGGCCATGCCTGGAACTGGCACGCTGGAACTTCTGCCATATTCTATTAGTCAAAGCAGTTACAGGGTCGACCCAGATTCAAGGAGGTGGAGAAATAAACCCTGCCTCTTGATGAGGGGAGTGGCAAGGTCATATTGCAGAGGAGCCTGTGGGACAGGAGATACTGATGCAGCAATTTTGGGAAAGTAATTTCCAACAGCATCCTTATTTGAAAGACCTGCAAATACTTTGTAGCAATCTTACAATTGATCAGTCAACAATGAATTACCTAATAACCTCTGAAAGGCCCCACCTCCTATCATCATCACATTGACATTAGAGTTTCAACATATGACTTTTGGGGGGGACACAAACATTCGGTCTATTGCACACATGTTCCCTGGGGCTCTGACACTTCTATGGGAGACACTTAGAAAAAAACAGACAATTAGGTAAAAACCACAATTGCTTTTGTACTAAACTAATACTAGCTCCCCCTCAACCCAGTAATTAAAAACACAATGGGTTTTCTTTTTATTTATTTAGAGACTGGGTCTCACTCTGTTGCCCAGGCTGGAGTGCAGTGGCATGATCTCGGCTCACTGCAGTCTTTGCCTCCCAGGCTCAAACCATCCTCCCACCTCAGTCTCAGCCTCCTGAGTACCTGGGACCACAGGGACACACCACCAAGCCCAGCTAATTTTTGTAGAGACAAGGTTTCACCATGTTGCCAGGGCTGATCTCAAACTTCTGGGCTCAAGTGATCTACCTGCCTTGGCCTTCCAAAATGCTAGAATTACAGGCATGAGCCACTGTGCCCAACCGGATTTTCTTTTTAAAATACAGCCATGCATCTCTGAATGACAGGGATATGTTATGAGGAATGCCTGATTTCACTGTGTAAACATAAATAGAGTGTACCTACATAAACCTACATGGTACAGCCTACAACACACTATATGGTATATCTATTGCTCGTAGGCTACAAACCTGTACAGCATAGTAACATAGTAATGTAGTTAAGTACTTGTGCCATAGGAACTTTTCAGCTCCATTGTAATCTTATGGGACCACTGCACGTCTGTCATTGACCAAATCACTGTTATGTGATGCACGACTGTAGTTGTACTATTTCATTGTATTAACTGATTACCATGTGATAAACACCAGAAAGCATGCTGAATGATAATGGGAGTTCCTCCCTGCCCTCTCCATTGTCTCTTGCAGCTCAATATCAGTAGTTTGCAGATCGCAACCAGGAATGGCCATGCATCCCTTGTCAACTTTCTTCTCAGTGAGAATGTTGATCTGCACCAGAAAGTGGAAGTGAGTTTATTCCAATAACATGGGCTTTGGTCCTGGCGCCATGAGGTTGGCCGTGCTAAGGAGATGCCCCTTGCAGATACATGTAGGAGATGAGATGTTTCACAAGGGAGGAATTATTTCTGGGAAGGCTGGCTGACTTCTTTTGGAGGCTGAGTCTTAATCTTGAGAAATAAAATCCAAGGGATGAATTTTAGAAAGTCATTGAAGTTCCTGAACAAAATGAAATCTTTGTGTTTTAAATATTTGTATTTGCTGCAAAAAAGCTTTCTCATATGTCTAGAGATGCCATTACTCTTGTATTAATTTTATCAGTCTGGGAAAATAATGAAGCAGCTGTACATATCAAGAAGAGTGATAATTTTTCTCCCTTCACTGAATGTTCTTGTTTTTCTTTTGAAAGTCAATTCTTTATACTGATTTAGGTTTTCTGACGTTTGAATTAGCTTTGGCAGAATTAACAAAGGCCCTCTGTGCTGGAATTAAACAAGAAACATGCCTCTATTTTTCCACTCTATTTTCATTTCTCTGTTGAGAATATGATTTCCTCTGATCTTGCTGAGCCATTACTATTTATTATATTAACTCAAGAGGAGGGATGTGATTTAAACCATGTCAGATAGCTTTTGGAGCATGGTATTGGGGGAATTGGCTCTGAACTTACCTGGTTCAGTCCAAGGACACTTCCTGTTTCTCAGGAGGAGCTGGGCCCAGCAAGGCGGGTGGCCCCAGCAAGGACAATGCCCACTTCTTTGCAATGTGGGATGCTTTCTCATTTTTCACGCTTAGTGCCTCAAGGAGGTTACTCCTGGGCAGAAGAAACCTACACAGAAATTCTTCCCTTCACGCTGCCCCCACGGCCCTGCTCACACCATCTGTCTGCTTTGACCCTTGCTGGCCTCTGACAGTCTCTGACTTCCTCAGCTGTGGTCTTCTACCTGTCCCCTCATCTCCCCTCCCTCCATCTGCTGGTGACACTCTTGCCAACTCACTATGGTCTCTCTTCCATCCATCTACCCCCATCTCCTGAGACAGAGCCTGGTGCAGATGGTAGAGTCAGAAAGGTCTGGGTTCACGTCCTGTCTCTGCCACTTCCTTGCTGCATGGCCTTGTGGAAGTAACTGATCCTCTTTGTGTCTCATGTATGAAGTGGGGAATATGAGATTGAATGTCTAGGGTTATTGATGTGATCTCTGAAAAACTGTCAGCCTGGTGTTTAAAACAGAGTATAAACTGTTAGGGCAGCCTGGGCAACATGGCAAGACCCCATCTCTACAAAAATTTAAAAATTAGCCAGGCACAGTGGTGCATGCCTGTAGCCCCAGCTACTCGGGAGGCTGAGGTGGGAGGTTTGCTTGAACCCAGGAGTTTCAGGTTACAGTGAATGACAATGGCTCCATTGCCCTCTAGCCTGGGCAACAGAGTGAGACCCCATCTCTGAAAAAAAAAAATAAAAGAAACAGTTGGGGGAATTGAGCGTGTAATAAGCACCACGATGAGAATGTGCTGAGTGTGTCTGATGCATATCATGAATATCAGCTGTTCCACTTGAGCGACGCTGCACTTGCCCTAATCACTCACCCTCGTAGGCGCTTGTTCTCTCTCGCCACTCGCTCCACACTCAGCTCGGCTCCTGATCTGCACGGTGTCACTGGATCTTCAGCCCTTGCTGTCACACCCCTGTCCACCTCCCCCTGGTGTCCTCCCTCCCTCATCATGCTGGATGCCCCTCACTTCCCTCTCTCTCATGCCTTAATCGCTTCTGCCCTCACTTCCCTTCATTGCTTCTTCCCTCCCTTTTCCCCACTCTCAGCTGACTCTACTCCTGGAGGCATGTCTCCTCTCATGTCTCCACAGGCCAGTGGCAGCTGGGTGGGACTACAGCAGCACGGGAGCCTGGAGGCAAAGTGTTGGGGGTAGACATAGGCACTGCGACCTAGCAGGGCCGGGTAAGAAGCCAGTGATGGGGATGGGTGAGAGGGGGCTGTGGCTGGGAAGACAGGTGTAGGTGTTTTAGCCACAAAGGAGAACAGGAGAGCAGGCTGCAGAGGGCTTGGGGAACATCCTGTGGCTGGACTCTATGCGGGGAGAGCTGAGCACGAGGATGGTGCCCCTGAGTAAGGGGGACTCCAGTCCTATAGGACACACTAAGGAGTCAGGGCTCCAGAACAAATCAATTCAGGAAATGCCAACTGTGCAATGATTTTGCCCTTGTGGCTACTCTCATTGCCCTTTAGCTCTTTGAAGGCTCTGAGAAGTCCTGCGGTTTGGCCTATTTAACACTTACTTCTCCTTCATATTTGAGCTTAAATGTCAGTTCTTCAGAAAAGTCTTTTCTGGCCTCCCGAAAGGTCAGCCTTCTCCCTATCCCCACACTGGCTCTTCTACTTCTAAAGCACTTAATTGTATACCGTATTTGTGTGACTTAAAAAAAGTTAATATTTGCTTACCCCACTAGACTGAAAGATTCCTGAGAATGAGCTTTGTTCATGTTAAATCCCTGGCAACCTGAAAAGAGCTTGGCCCATAGTAGGTGCTTAGTATGTTGCTCCAGAAAGAACAAAGGGGGTGAGCTGATTGCCGGGGAGCGAGTTTGCTTCAAAGCCTTGGGATGACCACAAATGCTGAATACTTACTAAGGGTCACCACTGGGATGGGTAGTTTCAGTACTTGGGAGATCATCAGGAAATAGCTGCTGAAATGAGTTGCTTTTTCATTTGAATGATGAAACCAGAACCTTTTGGATTTGAAATTTTTATTTCTCTCTGCAGCCTAAGGAGTCTCCTCTTCATTTAGCTGTTATCAACAACCACATCACGGTTGTAAACAGCTTATTAAGTGCACAGCATGATATTAACATATTAAATCAGGTAAGCCAAGAAAATCAGAGCCTGGAGGGTCTCTTTTCTTATATTTCAACACAGTGGGTGTTTAGGGGGAGTTTTGATCAAGTTGGAGGTACCTAAAAATTCCTGGGAGGAACATGTGCATCCTTTTTATCCTTTTCCTTGTGTAACTCTCACTCCATCCCCATGACCACACACATACTTTTGTCTTTCTCAGCCACACAACTGGAGGTCAGCCAGTGCATGATTAAATCTTACATGTTTAACAGGCCCAGCACTTTTGATAGAAAAACAGTAGCTCAGAGCTAAATGGCCAGAGGCTCTTTAAATCAAAAGCCACTCCCCCAGAGTGAAATATTGTAATTGGCAGGGAGCCTTTCCCCCACAAGAAGGAAGCTTTGTTTCTATATTGAAGACAGTAAATGTGTCTTCTCTTTGCCTAAAGGCAAAAGAGACCTCTTGGAATAAAAGAAAAATCACCCCAAGTTCAGTCAACTGAAGCAGAATCAAATGACTCATTAAAGCAATCCATTACTGGCTGGAAATGGGAATGCCGCAGCGGAATGATGAAGAGAATGGGGGTGGGCAGTGATGAGCCTGCTCTCTGGGGCTCTTCTGGGGCTGGTCTGCCCTCTTCCAGGATACGTAGGGGAGTGGAAGAGGAGCCTTTCCAGGGTCCTGAGGCCAGATGAGACCCTCCGGCTGCCTCTTCCCAGAGAAGCCTGTGCGGCGCCCCTCCGGCTTAGGGAGGAGCCACGGTGCAGTGGGCATGCCTGCCTGTCCTAATGCACTGTGAAACCGGAGCATTGACTCAGATCTCTGCAGTCTCCTCCCATTCCCACCTATGAGCTAAATTTTGCTCTGAGCTGAATGAAGATTTACCTGTACTTCTGTCCCTTCTCTCCTCCAGGGAACCTAGCCTCCTCCTTTGCCTTTACCTATCCCAAAAGTTTTTTTGGGGAAAAAAAAAATCTCCTCTTGTTATTAAATATGCTTATGTATTCAACTATGTTAATATCTAAAATCTTTCCCAATGGGCAAAATCTTTGCTAAATACACAGACAGAGCCTTGTGCTCACATGTGATACTGGTTTTGACAGAACTGGCTAGATGTACTCTAGGGAAGGGGTGTTTGTTAGGCTTGCTATCCTTTTACAGAACCAGACTTCATCACTTTAATTTTTTATTAGACCAAGAATAAGCATAAAAAATAGGAAATTTTATATTTTAAATGTAAAATATGTATGTAAAATTTTTTAAAAAGCTAAAAAGACTTAATGTGTTTGAAGTACCCAGCAAAGAAAGATAACTCTTGTTAATGTTTTAGTGCATTTCCTGCCTTCCAGACTTGTAGCATTATTGTTAAAATGGGTGTTGTTGGATTTGATACATTCCATTTTCACCTTTGTTCCATGTCGGTAGAGATCTTTGGTAGGCGTGTCAGTATAAGTGTAATGTCTTCAATGACAAACACCTAGACACACTGACATTTGAAGGTGAGTCTTTAAGAAATGCTTTTTGGGGCGAGGTGCGGTGGCTCACGCCTGTAATCCCAGCACTTTGGGAGGCTGAGGCGGGTGGATCACGAGGTCAGGAGTTTGAGACAAGCCTGGCCAACATAGTGAAACCCCATCTCTACTAAAAATACAAAAAATTAGCTGGGTGCCTGTAATCCCAGCTACTTGGGAGACTGAGGCAGAAGAATCGCTTGAACCCAGGAGGTGGAGGTTGCAGTGAGCTGAGATCGCACCACTGCACTCCAGCCTGGGCGACAGAGTGAGACTCCATCTCAAGAAGAAAAAAAAAAAGGATTTTTGGAGGCCAGGTGTTTTGGGTCACACCTGTAATCCCAACACTTTGGATGGCCAAGATAGGAGGATCACCTGAGGCCAGGTTTGAAACCAACCTGGGCAACATAGCGAGACCTCATCTCTACAAAAAAAAAAAAAAAAAAAAAAAATTAGTAGAGCCTGTAGGCCTGTAGTCTCAACTACTCAGGAAACTGAGAAGGGAGGATTGCTTGAGCCCAGGAGTTCCAGGTTACAGTGAGCTACTATCATGCTACTGTACTCCAGTCTAAATGACAGAGTAAGCAACTGTCTCTCAGAAAAAAATAAAAATATAAATAAATAAATGTTTTTTGGTAATATCCCCAGCATACTGGCCCTGTGCTCTGGTGGGAGGAGTAGTGGGCCACGTGCTATTGCCCAGCTCTGTGACCCTGGGAAGCTGCTTCCCTTTTCTGGTTAAGGAGTTGGGCTGATCACATCTAAGGCTCCTCTCTGCCCTAATATTTTAGAAATCTCTTCACAACTGCATTCCTTTTGGTGAGAGGTTAAGATGGGTGATTTTCTTGGGATTTCGGATATTTCTTTTGAAACTCTTATCATCTTAATAGGAAAATGATTACTCCGGAAGGAAATTAGAAGTCTTGAACTCCTTTATACATTATAATGTAGAAAATTTAGAGAACAGAGAAATGCATTCGGAAGGCAATAAAATAAACTCTAATCCCTTCATCTAGACCTTAGCATTAGCATTTTTCTGTACTGTATTTTCTTCTCTTTCTCTATATGTAGTTTTAGTTAAATCAAGCTCAACTAGATAGTATCATTTCCTGAAGTTTCAAACATTATATCAAAAGCATTTTTTATTTTCAAAAAATCTTTGAAATCATTTTTATTGTAGTAAAATACGCATAACAAAATCCACCATTTTAACCGTCTTAAGTGTACAGTTCAGCAGCATTAATTACATTCATTTGGTATAGTATCACCACCATCCATCTCCAGAGCATTTTTCATCTTCTCAAACTGAAATTTTATATCTATTAAACAGTGACTTCCCTCCTCATCCAGCTCCTGGGAACCACCATTCTACTTTCTGTCTCTATACATTTGACTACTTTAGGTACCTAATATTGAAATCATTTTTTAAAAAGTTATTTTTAATGGTTGCCTATTATTCCAATATACAGATGTATCATATTTATCTAGTGAGTCTCCTTGTTAAACATGTAATTTCCTTTCAGTTTTTCACTATTGAAAATAATACTGCAATGAATGCCCCAGTATCCATTAAAGAATGTACGACCTGTGTTTTCCCTTGAGCCTAAACAGGATGGCTATACTTTCCGTTTGTCTTTTCACCGTCCAAGTTTGTTCCCCTCCTTAATTTCATGGCAGAAGCAACAAACCCCTCTGCATGTAGCTGCTGATTGTGGAAATGTGGAACTGGTGGAAACCCTGCTGAAGGCAGGCTGTGACTTGAAGGCTGTTGACAAGGTAAGTGCATGGACTTAATCCATTCAGCTGAGATGGTTGCTAAGACCTTCCTGTTGGCTCTCAGCCTTGAGCAGAGGCATTGGAATATCTTTTGTGAAATGGGCACAAACTGGAGAAACCGTGTATCTTCATAGTCAGTAAAATATCCCAGTTTTGGTTGAGCTATGTCAGTAAGAATTTTTACTTTGAATGATGAATATGGGTTTTTAAATTCAAATTCTTTATTAAATTTTTGAAAAGATTATAGATTCATATGGTCCAAAAATAAAAGAATATAACTAGTAAGGGTTTAACAGTAAAAATTTCCCACCCACCCCTGTTCCTACTTGTCTGGTTACCATACCACCCTGCCTATATGTATCCATTATTATAAATTATTTCTGTTCCTTCCAGAGTTTTTTGTGCACATGCAAGCAAACATAAACACATTGTACTCTTATTCCCTTCCTCCATCCTTTTTAGACACTGATGGCTTACCTATAACTAGTATACTGTTCTGCATTTAGCTTTTTTAGCATTATTAAGTGGAGATATTTGCATATTAGTACATAGAGAGTTCCTTCATTTTTTTTTTTTTTTTTGAGCTGCATTGTATAGCATGGCACAGACCTATCACAACTTGTTCAACTAGTCCTCAATTGACTGACATTTAAGTTGTTCCTAAGGTTTTGCTCTTATAAACAGAGTTGCAATGAATGACTTTACATATGTCTAAATTTTTTTTTTAATTAAAAAATTTGTGGTAAAATACACATACATAAACACTGTCTTAACCATTTTTAAGTATATAGTTCAGTATGGTTAAGTATGTTCACATTGTTATGCAACTGGTCTCCAAAACTTTTCATCTTGCAAAAGTGAAACTTTATACTTGTTCAATAACTGGCCATTTCTTCCTTCTCCCAGCCCCTGGGAACCACCATTCTGCTTTCTGTTTCTATGAATTTGACCACTCTAAACATCTCATATAAGTGGAATCACATGGTATTTGCCTTTTTGTGACTGGCTTAGTTGACTTAGTGTAACGTCTTCAAGGTTTATCTATGTTGTAGCATGTGTCAGAATTTCATTTCTTTTTAAGGCTAAGTAACATTTCGTTGTATGTCTCTACCACATTTTGTTTATTCATTCATCCATTGATGGACATTTGGGTTGTGTCCACCTTTTGGCTATTGTGTAAACTTGTTTTTAAAGAAGGATAATTTTGTTTCTTTCAAGTGGTGCAACAGTGCAGGCTAAGCCTCCGGGGGGTTGTCAGAGAGCTGTGTTAGGTTTCAGCTTTACTGAAAGTTATACAGGAGGCCCCTGGATACAGCCCTGTCAGGTACTCATGCATGCCATATTACTTCAATCCTCACATCTCAGTGAGGTGGACAAAGTTACTCCAGTTTTCAAGAGTAGATTGGACAGATTCTGATGACACTGGGTCACACACATAGTAAGAGGCAGAGCTGGCTTCAAACCCAAGTAGTGGCTGCTCTGCCATCTGGTGCTTTGCTACAACTGTCAGCAAAGATGACTGCTTCCGAAACTTGCAGCGTTCCCTTCCTCATTTTTACCCACATAGTTCAATAGCCAGCACCTCCCTAATTCACAGTGCAAGCCTGAATCCACCCTACTCTAGTTCAGAATCATCCATTTTACATGTGTAAGATCTAAAGTAGTTTTATGTTATATTACTTTTCTCTGTGTGTCAGTTTCTAAAATTAGATTTTTTTTTTTTTCTGGTCATCAAAGTAACACAGGCCGGCTGGGCGCAGTGGCTTACTCCTGTAATCCCAGCAGTTTGGGAGGCCAAGGCGGGCACATCACGAGGTCAGGAGTTTGAGACTGGTCTGACCAACATGGTGAAATCGCATCTCTACTAAAAATACAAAAATCAGCCAGGCATGGTGTTGGGCGCCTGTAATCACAGCTACACGGGGGGGGCTGAGACAGAAGAATCACCTGAAACCTGAAGGCAGAGGTTGCAGTGAGCCGAGATCGTGCCAGTGCCCTCCAGTCTGGGCAAAAGAGCAAAACTCTGCCTCAAAAAAAAAAAAAAGTAACACAAGCCCACTGTGGACAATTTAGAACACATAGAAAAGCTTAAGGAAGGAAAACACAAACCCATAATGTTATCACTTGTGTGGAATTCCACCACTTTCACCAGTTGTACCTGGTTAACTTGGTTTAATATTTAGCAGTAATATTTTCTAATGCTGTTGTTTTGTAATTTATTTTAGGTTTTCATGAATACTTAATACACCCAGAGCCATTCTGTGGGTACAAAATCTGTACCATAGGGCAGGGATTTACATTGGGTTCCCCGGTGCTTAGTGGACTAGATATTCCAGTAAACAGTCAATGCTACCATTTGACTTTGTTTTCAAAACAAGAACTCACAGTTTACTGGGCCTCATAATTTGATTTTCCCAGATTTCCCTTCTTCTCCTTTCTTTTCAAGGTCTGGCACATAGTTGGCACCCAGTACGTAGTTAATTAATGAATAAAAAATATCTTTTCTATTGGCTCCCACAATTTATTTTTATTTTCATTTTTGCCGAAGAAAAGTGTTTCTAGGACCATGTTAGGGTCTGGTTAGGAAATAAGGAACCAAAGTTTGGTATAAATTTGACTTTCCCAGCAGCTTGTTCTCTGCTTGTCCTCTTGGCCTGAGGTGTCAAAAAGCTCTCAGAGAACCTTCTATCCATGCTACCTCCCAACCCCTAAGGGCAGAAGTGTTTGGATTTTCACTCCAGCATATATTCCCTAGGAAAATTTTCCTATGAACTTGGAAACTCTGGCTCTCAGAATGCTGCCTTCTCAAAGCAGGCTAATTATGGTGATTCAAATGGCTTTACAAGCCAGAATGTAGACACCATACAATTAGAGGCTTGCTAAATGCTTGCAAAATGCAGTTCTTCCTAATTTCATTACTTTCTCTTTTGATTAGAGGCTGATTACTTTCAGCCCTAATTTTCCTGCTCGCCTGGGTCTTAGCGCCTAGACTATGAACTAAATCATTTATATTGGTGGGAATTGCACTCGTTGCGAATATCTAACCATGTAAGATAATACTTGGGATATATTCTGGATCCATAAGGGTTCCTGAGATTGGAACTTCTTCTTGGGTCTTTTCTGACTATTAATTTTCATTGTTTTCTGAGCAAATTCTTCATGGGGCGTTTGAAAAGCAAATGAGAATGAGCATCCTTTGCTCAGGGTAAAATGTTTAGATGTAGAAGTGGTGCACTCTATGAAATCCAGAGGATTCTGCTTGCAAATCTCTATGCCCTGGCTTTGAGCTCTGTCCATCTTGAGAAAAGTGTACCTTTTTGTAATTTGTCTAAAATACCATGTGGGCTCCAGGCAGTTCATTCTCAAAATTATGTCCAGAACAGCGCTTGTTGATCATTCCATTTTTAAGATTCAAACCTCTCACGTTTGGTTGGAGGCAGTATGGTGTAATAGAAAAAATTTTAGATAGGGGTCCATTGACCTATGAATTACCAGCATTGCCATTATTGATATTATTCTTAATAAGATCCAGCCATTTTCTGTCTTATTACTGAATGCTCCTCAAAACGTGACTTCTACTTCCTGGTCTAAAGTGGCTGTTCAGGCTCCTGCCATCATGTCAGCATTCCACTCAGGAGGGAGAAGAGAAGAAGGAAAATGCCGTTCATCCCTCTTCTGTTTAAAGATACTTCCCAAAAGTTGCATGTCCCACTTCTATCTAAAGACTGTTGGCCAGAACTTAGGTCACATATCTAACTGCAAACGAGGCTAGGAAATGTTCAGGGTAGTACATGTTCTAAAGGCTTTGTATGCATTATCACATTTACCCCTGACCACTCCACTATGGGGTAGTTATAAAGACCCAAAGAAGCAAAGGACTGGCCTAAATTTACCCAGCATGGGCTGGTAGAATCAAGATTTGAACTCAGACCCCCTTGTTCCAAAACTAGAGCTCCTAATCACTAGGACATACCACCTGAATTTTTTTTCTTTTTAATTTTAGCAAGGAAAGACTGCCCTGGCTGTGGCCTCCAGGAGCAACCATAGCCTTGTGGTGGACATGCTCATTAAAGCAGAGAGATACTACGCCTGGAGAGAGGTAAGGAAGGCCGATCCCAGCACAGCAGGGGCTCTCCTGGCAACACCCTTCTTGAGGGGCAGTGCAGGGTCTGTGCCATTCTTTGCTCTAATGAGCAGAGTCCTGGTCAGTACAATTATAACTCTCCCTTCTGTCTTGTTCTGCCCCATTCATGGAATGAACATCTGCCTCTTCCTTTGCTGACATCAGACATCAGAACTGAGTGCGTAGAGTTCACTAGGGCCAAGGGGCATTGTCCAGGCTGGCTCTAATGGACCTAGCGTGTGAGCCCCGATGGGTGACGCCCTGGTTGTGCCCTCTGTCCACAGTCTGGCCATGAGCTATTCCCAGAAGCACGAATGAGTGGTTTAAAAAACTCCTTTCTGTGGCTCGGCAGTTTTCAACACACCCCTGTGCGTGCTTTCGGGCACTGAAGTATTCTGTGAGAGTCACGAAAACCTTATTCATCTAAGAACGCAAAAAAACTTGTCTGTAAGTCATTCTTTTTGCTGTTCTTTTATTTTTATTTTCTCTGATATCTGCTACCCATGCAGCTTCTCAATAGACTGCCCTCCCCTGCAAGATTCAACTCTATGCCCTCAGGCAAGAATGGCACTGCCAGGCACCATTCTTGACTTACAGTGATGTGTGGTTTCCATTCTAGTGATGTGTTGTTTCCATTCTAGGCTGCATGGCTACCCCTGGCCCAATGTGTTAGCTCCAGAATTCAGGCCCTAATCACTTGAGGCCCACCCTGAATTTCTACGAACGTGGATTGCTGTCCACCTGGCCAGTCCTGGGAAATTTCCCTTAAATCCTTAAAGCAAAAAGCATTTACTCATCTCCTTCTCTCTCACAATCCTGTTTAATTAGCTTGGTAGTCTTGATATATATGGATTCTTTTAAAGGTCACACCATCCTCCTTGCAACTTTTCTTGCCTGTAAAACAAAACAGAAAAAAAGGTGCTTTGCTTGTAAAACTTTTTTTTTTAAATTTTAACAATTGGAACTCTCTGTTTCTTCTCTCCTGTTCATCATATTCTACGTTCTTCCATCTCCTCCCTTTACCTCTTCCTCTTTTCCTATATCCTCAGGCTCAATTTCTTAAATTACCATTGTATTTTATTGAAGACAACTTTACCAAGTTCCATCTTTTCTCTTTCTCTTTAACTTGCTTTCACATTTTCTTTGGAAATAGAAATATTCATTGGTTCTATTTTTAATTCCTGATAGCTTTTTAAAAATTATTTTGGGTAGATGAGAATAAATTACTTTCCCACCAAATGAATACGCCCTCTTTCCTAATGAATCTTTAAGACATAAGAGGTAGGTATACTTTGAAAACCATACATAATACATGAGTATAGCTAAAGGAGACCCCCAGAAATGGTAAGAGTTGTTAACTCTGGTGACAATTGGGATCCTGGGGTCTGGAGTGGGAGAAATACTTGTTTTTTAAGATGTATCTTTAAACATTTTTTTAACCAAATGCATTTATTATTTTAAATTATCTTTGTTCATTGAACAAGTTTATATCCTTGCCTAATATAAAATGGTTCCTAGTAAAAGGATTAAAGATATGATTTAAATTCCTCTCTTATATTCATTTATCTTTTAACCTAACCACCCAATCATCCATCATTGAATTCAGTGGTTCAGAGGCAAATGGGAGCTTCCTAAAACCTGACTTATGTTATTTTAATTTCCACCAGTTCTGGCTCATGTTATTCCTGCAAATAGTTCAGTGCTTTGGCAGGCAAGCTATTTAATGCTTTCACTGGCTGCTGAAAAAGACCTAGGCTTTCCAAATCTCCTGCCCTTTTCAATGGAAGCCTAAGGGACCACACAATCCAATCCTGAAATGCACAACCATGTAAGTTTCTTGAAGAACTAAAAATGTTATCGCACAAAGATAAATGCAGAAGCATTTTGTGTTCTTCCCTTTCCCTTGTGACGTTTAGGCTTTTGTTCTTGTTGGATTCATCATTGTTTCAGGAGACGGAATGAGGAGAGAAGGACAAAGTGAAGTGGCCTGCAGCTCCCAAGTTTGTTGGATCTCTCCATCCTCAACCTTACTTCTTTTGGAATTCCTGGGAGCTAGCCACTGTGGAAGTAAAGCTGAGGTTGGGTTGGAGAAGACCCTGCTTTTTACAGTCCCTAAAACAATTATGGGTAGTTCACACCTCCCATTCCTCTTCCAACTTCTATACACAAAGTTCAGATACTAGAGGAAGGTTTTGCCCTTCTTGGCCAAGCTTCCCAGGAGGAGCTTATTGTGCTTCCCTTGTTGAGCTTCCTGGAGGAGGTTGCTGATGCTGTGAAGGATCCATGGTGGGGGCCCATCAAGTTCTTCTCATCAGTGTTGAAACCCAGGGTCCTAGACACTTTTGGTTCATTTCCTGCCCCAGCCTTGATTCCCATCTTGTTGTTAAGAACATTTTCATTAAGATACACCTCTATTTAAGTGAAAGACAAAAATAGAAGTCACTATACATGAAAAAGGAGAGGTAAGTAGGAAGTCCCAGACTTCTTGGTGGGCCGCGTGTCCTGCGCGTCCTTAACTGATCTGCAACCTTCTGCAGGAGGATAACCTGGAGACCTACTGGCATAAGCACAACATACAGTTCTAGGAAGCGGCGATGCCTGCTTTCACTCAGTGATTTTCTCCAGTGTTTGTGGTTTGATTCTGCAGGACTCTGGTGGATTCTGCTGAAGGGACAAAAGGAACCTTGCCAATCTAGGCATAGCGCTGTTGGGCTGAGTCTGGCTGCAGTGACTTTAAATGACGTCCACTCCTGTCCTCTCCACCCCCTGGGTCACCTCTTCCCCAAGCCCCACCCTGAGCTAGGCTCCTAGTTTGCTCTCCTCATGCTCACCAGAGAGCAGGATGAATGAGGGACCATCTATGGGGTCTTATTAAGGATACAGCCAATCTGGGCTCACCGAAGCTTCGATATGAGAACATCAAATACCCAAAAGAAGAAAAGGGGGTGTGGGTTCAAACAAAGGCCATTAAAGATGGTTTTGTTGTTGTGACACATCCTTTCCCAAGACAGCCTCTCTGTTCTCATTCTCTGTTCTAAGCAGCATGGGACACAATAGGCAAAATCCCTCACATTTCCTGTGTCAGACAGACGGTACCCAAGCTTTTAATTTCAAGCATTTGTTTCCATTTTGGATGTCAAAAAAAAAAAAAAAAAAGATCCAGTGACAGATGGCATTGAAAACATAGTCTCAGTGACCACCTTACTAGTTATGTATGAAAAACATATATATTCTGAAATAAGGTAATAAGTAGAACATGTCTGAAATCTTCTGATAAATTATTTTCACTTTAGGAGCATCATGAGAGCATTGGGGACCCATCAACAGGCTTTCCTCTGACATTCAAGCAAGACCACAGTCTGGAGACCAGACACATTCGCACGCTCCTCTGGGGCCTGGCTTACCATCAGCTGAAGGCCAATGAGTGGCAGAGGCTGGCCCGTTTGTGGAACTTTACAGATGACCAGATTAGAGCCATTGAGGCACAGTGGTCAGGTGAGTACGGACTAGGTGATGTGGGCAGCAGGAAGTCACTGTTAGGAACAGCAGTGCCTCCTGGTGTGGGGTCTTCCAAGGAAGTGTGTGGCACTCACAATAAGCCGCAGTCTTCGAGGGGCCCAGGAATAGGGGCAGCTAGCTTAAATCCACACCAGTGATTTGGGTGTTAAGATTTGCAGAAAGTGAATGCACATGGTCTGCAGTAAACTGAAGTTTGCAAGGGATGATTATATTTATTGAGCCATATCAAACATGTGGCATTTAGCTTAGAGAGAAATTAAGGTTCCCAACTGGACAGTCACTTAAGGAAGCAAGGATTTAACAGTTGGTGTGTCAGTGGGAAGCCAGTCTGATTTCTATGTTCCTTGAGACTGTCCTGGGGTGAATGGGTTTATTCTGTAATCAATAGGCTCACTGTTTAAATCCGCGCTCCAGAAAGAGGAATTCCTTAAACCAGGTGGGTGGAGGAGAAAGGGTTCTCGTAGGACGCTGCCTTAGGGGAGACTTAGCTGTCCCATGAGAGACACGGGGAATATAGACTCAGAGGGCTTTCTTGGCTAGATGATTCCAAGCAATGGAATCATTTCAGGCGGACTCAAACTGTCAGAATTAGTGAGGTCAGGTCAGCTAGATTCCTTAATTTTGCTTTTTTGTAGTTAGACGAAAACCTAGGAAACATAGAAAGTTTACTTGGCATTAATCAACTAATTAGCTTTGAAAACAATGAAGCAAACACGTTTCTTGGCAGAGTGTTTTATTCAGAGCACAGCCCTCTCATGGACATCCTAAGACGAGAAGGTGTCCTTGCTCAGGGGTCGATTTGTACCAGGGATTGCTGGGAACTGGGGATAGCAGAAGCACAGCCTGTGAGCACACACTATTTATACCACATACAAGTATATGAGACTTCGTATTGCACATTCTTAGGATTCATTTTCATGTGAAAAATAGATGATAATATATTGAAAACATTAAATACTAGTTTCTAACTAGAAAAATTTTTTTATTGTTGAGATTTCTTTTTTGTCATTAGTTAGGCTTTTAGTGTTGTATGAAGTCTTTAGGAAAATTGAGTTGCCTCCTGGAACTCTATCTTGACCAAAAGAGATGACTGGAAAATACAGTGTTATCTTCAGAGTACTTGCCAGCAGGACAAGGGAGATTTTAAAGTGTTTCGATGGAACCTTTATGGAGGGCCTGGAGTGTTTCTCTGCTGGATGAGGGACAGATACATCAGCTCTCTAAGCCATGCATGTTTGATGGAGTTTATAATCTAGTTGGCACAATAACAATGACATTTACAATTCAATTATATTGTAAATGTCCAGGGTACATTATATTGTAATGTACCCTTATATCCAGGGTAAGGTTACCGGCAATGGGGAGTTTGTGGGCTTTTGAGCAGAGGGGTAACAAGACTCATGATGGTATTTTAGACAAATTAGTTTGTCAAGAGCAAGATTAGGAAAGGAACAGAGGACTTGTCCAGGAGTACATTCTGCAAGCATGCAGTTCCCTCTCCCTGAAAAGCCTGCCTCTCTGTAACAGTCTGTCCAGTGAACTTCTCCCTCACCCCTGCAGAGCTCAGGCCCTTCCTTTGCACAGCATGTCTGCTCCTGCACACTGTTTCTCAGAGCAAGGAGCCTGTAGTGACGTCCTGTTGGGAACCACAGTGGCTTTGTGGCTCCCTATCCCAGTACTTCCCCCAACACCTGTCCAGGCTGAGATATCCAGTGAGTATTTGTCAAATGCATAATCCTGGCCCAGAGATGCAAACTTCCCTCAGAGTAGCTTTCTTGAAACTGGAGTGGCAGAATGAATGGTGCGTGCTTGCTGCTCAGAGTGGGGAATATGGAGCAGCAGTGGCAGCAGCACCCGGGAGTTTGTTAGATGCATGGATTCTTACCCCAGACCTACTGAATCCGAACATGAATTTTAGTAAGATACCCAGGTGAAATAAGCACTGGGAGTTTGAGGAGCATTGGTCTATGAGAAGTTGCACATCTCATTAAAATTGTTACCACTGGGCAGGCACCACAGCTGTCCTCTCTCTTGTACATTCCTTTGGGTGTGTGCCAAGCACAGTAGGTGCGAGCCAAGAGTTGGAGGGAATGCAAACGCTGGTCATCATAAAGCGAGGGCAACTGGAAGGGCTTTTTTCGAAGAGGAACAGACATGTGCAACCACAGTCATTCAGAAAGTTTAGTTGGAACCGAGATCACAATGGAAAGAGATAGTAGCTTGTGGTGTTTTACCTCGGACCTCTTGTGCTTGGCACAGGAAATGAAAGCTTCCGTGAACATGGCCACAGGGCTCTGCTTATCTGGCTACATGGGACCCTGATGACTCAGGCTGATCCGGCCAAGCACCTGTATGAAGAGCTGGTACACGCAGGTTTCCCAAAACTAGCTGGTAGGTGACAATTTCAACAAACAGAAATTCTTTCTCCCTTAAAATGTCAGAAAGCAGTCTACAGAAACACCATCCTGACCAGCTGCAGTCCCAGGGTGGTGTTAGCTGTGGCTCACATGGAGTATGGAACTATGGAAGGGGCTTGTAAGCTGTCAGCAGCTTCTCCTTTGGGGAATGACCCAGTCAATACTGGTTACTCGTTAGCCGGGCAGTTCTGTGTCATCCCCCTACTCGGCATTTGAAAAAGTGTGGGAGTGTTTCTGTTTATGCATATGTGTGGTGGGGGCGGGGGGTGGGGTGGGGAAGAAGTGCTAAACCATCCCATACAGTTACAAGATTGTTCTCCACAACTAAGAGTTGTCTTGCTCAAAATGCCATTTTACCCCAGTTGAGAAACTGCAGGTTAGTGTATTTGAAAATGTTATCTCTAGGTGGAACAAAAAGAGCAGACAGGCTATTACTTTGCCACCTGTGGTTATTGCTAAAAATCACTCGGCCGAAATCACTGACCATCTTGTCAGGAAAGATCCTTTAAGAGCTTATCAATAAATTAGGAGGTGTTATAACTCTCATATAATAACAAGCATTCAAGCAAAAAACAGGAACATCTGCCATTATTTTCACTGAAGCAGTTTTACCTGGAGCAAGAAGATAAATGAGTGAACACTGACTGATCCAATAGTTTCCAGCAGTAGTAGGTACAAGGAACAGTGTGTGGATACCTACCTTCCATCATACGATCTCATGGAGTTGTTCCCTCAACTTTAACCCTGTTCCCATTGGCCCCAAGAATATTCGCCAGCGGTGCTTGCAGCATTTACCCCGAGAAAACTTTGCCATGAATTATCTTGCTTTTATTATTATTTTTGCATTGCTCTAGTATATCGACTTTGGAAACAAAATACATCATTCTACTTATAGCATTCTGTTTTTAGTAGTGATATTTCCATTTACAAAATATGGAAATTCCTGATGGTTGAAAATGTCAAGTCCTAGAAAATGTAGCATTCCTACATGTGATGTTGACGTCGTTCTCAAACAATTGTTGGCCAAAGATTCATTCAGTGAATCCGATTTTTCGGAAATTGACGATTCGGATGATTCAGACTATTCTGATGTTAGTTCTGTTTAGAAATAACTCCAAGAACAGTTTTTATATTTGTTTTTCACATTGAAAATCAGTCAGATTTGCTTCAGCCTCAAAGAGTGTGTTTATGTAAAATTAAAGAAGCGCTGGCAGTGAGCTGCACTTTTTTTTCTAAAAGGGAAAAGGGTTAAATGTATTCTTCCTATGAAAGAGGTTCCGTAAGAACTCTCAGAGAAGACACAGATGCAGTCCACTGAACTGGCTAAGGGTATGTATTCTGACGCAAGGCTGTGTGAGCTCACTCTTGAACTCCAAAGCTGACTGCTTGTAAATCTTGAGCAAGTTCTATGACCTCCCTGTGACAACCTTCTCATTTATTAACTAGGAAAGAAAATAAAAATGTTTACTTCAAAGGGCTGTTGTGGGATTTAATGAACAATAGTGCCTAGTAGACAATAAGTGCTTTAAAAATGTTAGGTATTAATCAATTTATCTTATTTTTTTCCAGAAAAGACTCGTCATTTCAAAAGCAAAACTGACTTAAACTCCAAGAAATGTGTAGTTTCATAAATGCCCAAAGAAATTGTATTTACATGATCTTCCACTCAGCATTCAGTTCTTTTAATGCCATAAATTTCTCCTAGCAGTAGCACTGATTTTCGACTATAATGATGGTGGTGACAGGGTACTGTAACAGGTGAAAGAAGAGTAATACCATGATACTTTTCAACCTCTAAAAAGCCAAATACAGTTTTTTTGCTGAGGGCAAGTTATATATAATTTTCCCATTTCTGTCATTTGATGTAACACGTGTAATAAGATAATCTAGGAGGGTTTTGTATGTCATGTTTTTTTCTAAAAATTCATGGGAGCAGCATCATGGTACAGTAAAAAACCAACGGTTTTTACAATAGACGAATATAGTTTTGAACTTGGTTTTGCCACTTATTAGATGTGAACCTTTGGGCATGTTAATGTTGTTTAAGTTCTTAGATCTTCAGTTTCCTTCTCTATAAACTGGGACAAATGTCTATTTAATCCACAGGGCTGGAGTAGAGATGAAGGGAAAATGCCTGTGAAATGCCTAGCCTCATGCCCACAGTATGGAAATCAACTGTTATTTCTCTTTCAGTAAGAGAAACTGGGTTTGGAAATTTATAGTCATTGTTGACTTTAAATCACACATAATGTGTAATATATTACTTAGGAAAGACCAGAAGTATGTACACCAATTTTTTTTTTTTAATCTTGTGGTGATGTAATTACTGATGATAATTTTCTTTGTACTTTTGGGTACATTCAATTTTTTTCACAATGAACATGCATTATTTTTGTAATCTGAGAGTTGTGAAATAAATGTAAAATCGAGTATCAATTTGTGTCGGTTTATGTGCACCTATTCATTGGAATTTAAGACACTCCATTTTCGGATTCTGACTCTAAATTTACAAGGCACATAATAAAACCATAAGCAATTTCAAACCAGTTATTCTATCATGAATTTATAGTTTTATGTCTTTGTCTCATACTGATTATAAGTGGCCCACTTAATCTTACGAATGTTTAAAACAGGTAATAGATTCATATGATTCCAAAACATTTTTCAAAAACGTATTGAGAAGTCTTGTCCCATCTGTTCTTCAGTATGGCCAGTTTCCACTGACCTCTCTTTATCACTGCTCCCCACCAGATTGGAGTAACCTCTTTATGCAAAAAGAAACAAATATGAATACATACTATAACTGTGTAAAATGTTTAATTGTTGAATTTATGTTAACTTAGGCCAACACTAATTGCTTGGTGCTTTAGACAACATACATTCCTAGAGCTTAAAGCTTAAGAAGATGTTTATAATATTCTTAATCACACATTCATAATACTCACTTTAGTTTGTCCATATTGTTTTGGCTTGGATACTGAAAACCATTCCTGGTTGTAGTCTAGATCCTCAAAAAGTAGAGCTTGTCTAAGACCGAAGTTTGTGTGCAACAACTTTTACAGAAGTGTGCATCCGGGGAAGCAGGAGTGGAGGAAAAAGGCGAGTTGTCCAGGGAAGGAGGGAGAGTGAGAACAAAGTGAATTACCTAAGTGGCCATCACTCGGTACAAGCATAGTTGATTATTTAATCTCGGGCTACTCTATTCCGAGAGACATAATATACTAATGCATCTCAGGACAATTCATACAGGGGAGGAGGGAGAATTGGTCTGTTTACCACAATGCCAAGCATTAATTCTGTGCTGCATGAGTGGGCTCCCCAGTGGAGCCTGCACTCTCCTGACTCAACTGGGAGTGAACGGAGAAGCCCAGGAAGAGCAAGCACACGCAAAGGGCGCGAGATGAGGTGCTGCTGGTTTATGTTCATGAAAAGCTTGCTGAAGCCCATGAGGGGTGGAGCTGTTTACCACAAGGGTAGCTGGGCCAGAATCCGGAACAAGTGTTGTGTAAATATCTAATACCCTTTAAGAAACAGCCTGATAATAATTCAGAAAGGCCTTAGTGGGCCCTATTAGAAAATGGGATTCTATTTGCCTATGTCACACTTATTCTCTGATGTCCTGTGAACAATGTGAGGCACCAAGAAAACCTATTTCCCATAATAAAAATTAGTGTAAGAGAACTTATATTCAAATTAGAAGAGGCTTCAGATGATTAAGTCCATCCACTCAGTTAAAGATATGGAAATTGAGGTCCTAGACAGACTCTTTAGAACCTGTTTATTTTTATGTATTCCATAAGTACTTGTGAAATAGTAGGTAGATTTTATGCTTATTTCACAGATGAGGATCCAGAGATTCATTTAAATTGTCTGGTCCACACAATCAGTCAGCAATAAAACCATTAGAAGCCAAGTCTTGTTCACCAAAATCAGTTCTGCCCAGATGGTTTCTTTGTACTGGACAGCCATTGAAAAATTTCTGCCCAGGCCTAGGTTTGCTGAGTTGCACAGGGCCACACCACCACAGAACAGTGTTTAGATGTTCAGGGAGAACAAGGTAGGTTCAGTGCTGCAGAGTTTCAAATAAGGTGAGAAAGAAAACCAGAAACAGGATCATTCTAACAAGAAATTTCTGACACTTCTGTAACTCTAGTGCTAGTATTACAAATGTTTCCCTTTTGGCATTAAAAAATGATGCATAGATGTTGCCATTTCCGTCTATTTTCAACTGTTAGAGTCCTGGAAAAATGAAGACTAACACGCTAAAGCCACAAAAAACCTGGGGCCAGGAGTGGTGGCTCAACGCCTGTAATCCCAGCACTTTGGGAGGCTAAGGCGGGCGGATCACTTGAGGTCAGGAATTCGGGACCAGCCCGGCCAACATGATGAAACCTCGTCTCTACTAAAAAAGATACAAAAATTAGCCAGGCTTGGTGGCTGGCACTTGGAATCCCAGATACTCGGGAGGCAGGGGCAGGAGAATCGCTTGAACATGGGAGGAGGAGGCAGTGAGCCGAGGTCACACCACTGCACTCCAACCTGGGCGACAGAGCAAGACTCTGTCTCAAAAAAATTAAAAAAAAAAAAAAAATCATTATTACACTTGGTCTTTAACTTTTTAAAATAAAAATAAAAATATCCTAGTTTCTACTAGTTCTAATACTTTGTTTTTAGTAAGGTTCCCTCTCAACACTTTGAGTGAATTACAGCTGTGTAATATTGGAAATAATTTAGTGTTTTATAAATAGTGAAAATAAATTTATATACTTTGATGATGTAATCAGCAACAGGCTAAACATATTAAAAAAATAAAGTCCAGTTTTTTTTAAATTTAAAAAAGTTTTACTTAATTGCTTAAATAAAAAATAACATTAAAATAATTTCTACATATAGTTACAAAGCATGGTAGAGTTTGAAAAGGTCTCTTGTTAATTTTGAACAGATGAACGTGATGTATCCATGATGTTCTAACAATATGAAAAAGTTAAAAACAAAAGACTTCTAACCCTTGGTAAGACCAGAGGGATTAAAAGACCCCACTATGGATATATTCACTTTAGTCAACCACTTTTATGGACTGAACGCTTGTGAGAGACGGGGTGTGAGCTGATCTGGTTCCAAGTGATCTGGAAGCTGAGGTACTACTTTCAGGATGAATGGTCCGGGGATATTTTGCTGCAGTTGCTTGAGGAATGGTTTGCTGAAAAGACAAAAATCTGCTTTAATAATACCACAAAATTATGTATACTATGTATCATTTCATCATCTATCATCTATAATTTAACCCAACAAACATCTGTTAAGATCCAGTAGAGAGAAGCAATGAGGGAGTGAAGCAGCTGTTAAATTAGATGAGGCCCTTCTCTGTAAGGAACCCCTACCCAGCCTGACTGACATGTTCAACACCCACAATGTAACATCAGAGCTATATCCACAAAGATCATTAAGAAAGCCACGGGAGCCATTCCTCCAACAGGGCCCAGTGGAATCTTGTAATGTGTACAGAGGCTTTGTATACAGACAGAAACTGTGGTAATTGGAAGAGGGGTCAGCCTTGAGCCCTCCCCTCATTCGATCTAACTTCCTTCTCTCTACTTGACTGTGGAAACCAATCCCAGGGGCAGAGGGAAGCCCTCAGGATGCAGTCTGGTCCTTTCTTTAAACCAGAGCCCTCATATTTAACCTGGTTCACCTGGGAGCAGACTAAAAGTTTTATGCACATCACCTCGGAGCTCAAAGGAACACCTCAGACATGAGCACTGAATCATTAAAGTCAGGACACACGCGACTCAGTCCACACATATAATATGCATGTAATACATGTAAGTACACACTATGTACACAAGTACACATTACATGTAAACATATGAACAATATGTATCAGTACAAGGCTTTTCCCTATTAAACCCGATAAAGCTTCTTAGTAGCCAGCAGTGGGATTTGTTATCAAGGTAAGTTATTAGTCCACGCTACTGACTAGGACATGCCAATTTCTATTAGGATCTTCCACTTAGAAAACTCATCGTTAAAATACTTTAAGTAAAACTATATATATTTGGTCAAAACATTCACTATGTATTTAAAAAACTCCAAGCTGTAGTTTTTGCTTAAAAAAAAGAATGACACCTCTTAAAAACACAAGATCCTGTCAGATTCTGTTTTAAAAAGAACAGAACTCCTTTTTAAAGAAAAAGAAAAATAACCTCTTTTCTTAAAGTATCTTATAAAAATGTTTCTTTGTATATAAATAACTAGATAACTATTATAAATAAGAGATACTCTTGCAACAGATAGGAAATTTTAGTTGCCAGTCACCTAATCTGAGCCTACCAAAAAGGCTTTCTCTTTGGGGAGGATGGGCAAGAGGAACTGCAGAAATAAAGAAGCCACTGAAATTATGATACACAAAATATGACAGATAACGAAGTGGCCCTAGAAGCATGCAATTGTCCAGCAGAAGAGGCTACGGTGTCACAAATCGCATCCTTGGTTTTTTAGTAAAAACCATTTCTGGTAGATTTAGATCTGGACTCCCAGGGTAAAAAGAAATACAGTACAGATGACTGCCACTGTGTCTGTCACATAATCCAGGAAGCTGATGGCTATCCGATTCATATGCAGTTAGTGGGGAAGGAATGCACATACTGAATAAAGGGAGGGCAGCATGGGAGATAAGTATCAAAAACAAGGGTTCTAAATGTTTAGTTCTTTGATTTGTCTTCTGTAAAATATGAATTCTTAGTTGTCTAATAAAAAATAAACACATATGTGCTCTCTTTACGCCTTCTTTACCTCACAAATGGACAGTCTCTCACCATCTCTATACATTTTCTACATCTGAAAAAACAGAAATGCATTCATTTCTTCTCATTTTTGGTAACTTGTCTTCCATATTCAAAAATATATAGAAAAGTCTTCTATGAACTTTCAGAGTCTGTCCAACTTATGAAACATGAAACCTAAGATAATCCTAAAATAAATCCTCCGTCATCTCCATGTGTCTCTCTGGACTTGGTGCTTCTATCTCCAGCATTCCACCTCGCTAAGGTCCCACTTCACCTGAAGTTCAGTTCAAATCAATCCAGCTTGTCTTCATTTAATCATCTAGTGACCAGCTAGTACTCAGGAAAAAAGGATTTAAAATCATTCCACGTACTTTTGTTTTTGCTAATACTTAGTAAGTATACAGGAATGTTGTCCAATGCTGAGAATTCATAGAGGGCATTCTTTTTTTTTTTTTCCCTGCCACAATATTTTTAATTACGTACAAAGGTCTGACATGTCACCCAGGGACCCATTTCACCCACTGCTCTGTTTGGCCGCCAGTCTTTTGTCTCTCTCTTCAGCAATGGTGAGGCAGATACCCTTTCCTTGGGGAAGAGAAATCCATGGTTTGTTGCCCTTGCCAATAACAAAAATGTTGGAAAGTCGAGTGGCAAAGCTGTTGCCATTGGCATCTTTCATGTGAACAATGTCAAAAGATCCAGGGTGCCTCTCTCTGTTGGTGGTCACACCAATTCTTCCCAGGTTAGCACCTCCAGTCACCATACACAAGTTACCAGTGTCGAACTTGATGAAATCAGTAATCTTGCCAGCCTCCAAATCAATCTGAATGGTATCATTCACCTTGATGAGCGGATCGGGGTAGCGGATGGTGCAGGCATCATGAGTCACCAGATGAGGGATTCCTTTTGTGCCCACAAAGATCTTTCTCACTCTGCATAACTTGTACTTGGCCTCCTCAGGTGTAATACGATGTACAGCAAAGCGACCCTTGGTGTCAGATCAGACAGAAATTCTCTCCCGTCTTGTCAATGCTGATGACATCCATGAATCCAGCAGGCTGGGTTATATCAGTTCGGACCTTGCCATCGATCTTAATGAACCGCTGCATGCAAATCTTTTTTACTTCATCTCCTGTCAGGGCATACTTAAGTCTGTTCCTTAGGAAAATGATGAGGGGGAGACACTCTCTCAACTTGTGGGGACCGGTGGATGGACGAGGAGCAAACACACCACTCAATTTATCCAGCATCCAATACTTTGGAGCTGCTACCCGCTTCAGATGCTTCTTGGGACCACGAGCCATGGCTGCGTTAGGCAAGGAAAGAGTGGGCATTCTCTTTTAAAATCAATCCCTGAAATTAGCTGGCTGTGGTGGCGGCCACCTATAATCCCACCCACCCGGGAGGCTGAGGCAGGAGAATTGTTTGAACCAGTGAGTGGACAATTTTTGTCTCTTTTTAAATGGATAATAAATCCTTTACATATTTTACTCTTTTGACCACAAACACACTGGATTACTTTTAGTATTTTATAATTTTTACAGTTTGGAAGAAACGATGCTTCTGAAATTAATTTCCCAACAGCAGAAAGGTAGATTTATAGCAGGTTGGAGAAATACAAGTATAAAAACAAACAAACAAACAAACAAACAAAAAAACTGTATCAGGAAAAGGCAGAACAAGTACCAGTCATCATAAATTCTTATCTTCTCAACATGTTATGTAAGTGTTTACTAGTCTGTGAACTCTCAGGAAAAAGACTTTTTGACAAAAGGTCATCAAATGTGGACTCACCACTGTGACTGGATGATGTTTTTCCACAACAACTGAGCTCATGGGAGGAGAAACTCCCATTATAGCTAAACCGCTGCTAATTCTATTTTTTGAAGCAAAATCACATCTTCCTGTGATCCGGGCTGTAATAGTTCTTCCTGCTTTCTGTTGTGCAGAGGTTACAACTCTTGGCACATACTAAGAAGAAAAAAAAAATTAAAAGAAGTAATGAGGTGGCAGAAAATCCACAGCAAAACTTCTATTAATTTGATTCCATAAATTACGAAGAAAATACACAGGCACTTAAAATAATTGTACGTTCAACCAACTTTAACATGGAAAAAATCAAACAAAATCACAAGACAAAATGCAAAGCACAAAACCCAACACCCCAAAATATCCCTTTAACCTGAGTATGCCAACAATTTTATAAGATTTTAGAAACTTAAAACACCAACTTTTTATTTTGAAATAATGATAGATTTACAGGAAGACACAGGGATCATATTGAAAAGTACTATGTGCTCTTCACCCAGTTTCCTGCCATGGTTACATCTGACATAATCAGAATATAACAAAGTCAAAACCATGAAGCTCAACATGACATAATGCCTGTATATAGATCTCTGTCATTTTATCACCTAAGTTCCTATTAACTATCACTCAATCAAGATACAGAATACTCATCACCACGAAGATCTCCCTCGGGCCACCCTTGACAGTCATACCCATCTCTCCGTTCCTTCCCCAACCATCCGTAAGCCCCGGCAACCATTAATCTGTTTTATGGACTTTTTCATCCTTAAGCATAATTAATATTATCTTTACACATATGCTTCTGTGTTCTGCCTTTTTTCCTTCTCACTTTATCAATATATTTTTTTCATGAGGTAATACAGAGACCTGCTACAGTTCTTAATGAGATGGTTTTTATGCCAACGAACTACTTTGTCTTTCTTTTTCTATTACATTTAGCACATTTTGCAAAAGAAAAATCTCTTTTTAGTTACTTCTGTATAATATATTGCAAACAATGGAACGATCATATCAAAAAGTATTATCAGCTTTTATAGCTTTTGTTGCTTACTGCTGGATGATACTCCAGAAAAATATTTACAGCAAGAATAACACATAAGTGGACTATTTTTGCACTGTCAATCAATTACACACCTGCTCGTTTAAGTCTGAGGTGAAATCTACTATTCAATTTGTGGTTCCTTATTAATGTTTCATATTTGTATTCCATTTTGTCAACTATCCATCTTATTTGCTAAGAACTGAAAGGACATTAATATTTAAATTTTTAAAAATAGTTCCTGATGAATAGTAAACTCATTTAATAATTACAGATACTTATCTAAAAGTGTAAACAATTTCCTCATTTCATTTATTTGTCTTAATCTTCAATGCACATCCATTTTTTTAAGTTGTGGTTAATCCTGTCATTAATTTCCTCTTGCTTCCATGATGAAACCAAAATCAGCTTTGGACAGCTGAGGTAGTTATACTCTCACAACATTTACTTATTTTGGCTTAACTTATTAAAACATTTGAAATTTCAGTGTGAAGTATTAATCTAAATTCATTTTTTCTCTAAACAGTTTCTCCAAAGGCATTTATTAAGTATCAGTCTTTTCCCGATTATTATAGTTCATCTGTGATTCTCCGTATTCTGTGTGTAGCTAGATTCTGCACCTAGCTACATATAGTCACAGCTATACATTGAAATGGGAAGAGAGTGGGCTTCAGGAGAGATGTCTCGGGGATAATTAAAATGACGGAGTATTGATGTTTTTGGAAGACCCTACGGAAAAGAGCATTCAGTAGGGTTCCGTAATCCCTGGAGAGTTTGGAAATAATTCACTATAGTTGGAGAGAAAACCGAAGATAAAAATGAAGCAATTAATTCTAAAACAAAACATTATACCAGAAAGAAAATGTAGTCATAGTATACATTCATGGCTTAGCTATATTAGTCATCATAAATGATTTAATCTGAAATTGGAATATCTATAACTAAATATTTACATACAGGGAGGATGAGGAAAGTGAAGAGAGAGAGAAGGAATAAGGTGGCATAAGGAGGCCAAGTCCTTTTTATCTGTAATAAGTTAACAGATGTTTGAAATTAAGAAATGTAGAAATAATGATATAGACATATTATTTAGGAAAAAATGGAAACAGAAGAAATAGCTGACAGAGTTAGGGAGAGGGATTTAGAAGACTGTTTCTCACTATAGTCCTTGTAAAAATGATTTGGCTTTTTAAACCATAAACTTCTATGGATCTTATGAATTTGATAAACTAAAAATATCAGATTTAAAAATATTTACAAATATGTTTTTGTGGACTAAATTCATGCCTCTGGCCTGAGGGGAACTTTATCTTATTACAATAAGGGACAAAAAATATTTTACAAACTCCTAAAGATGCTTAAATGCTATTTTAAAATACAAAACTAATTGCTGGCAGGAATATTCTTTGCCAAAATGTGGAAACCAAAGTACAACTGAGTTTGTAACTTTCCTCCTGCCCAATCACACTTGAGGGGTGTCTTCTCAGTAGCCGTGATTCTCTCCTGGAGCTTCAGGTGTGAATGAAAAACTAGAGAAATCGGGACTAAAGAAAATTAGAGTAGTGAGAAAATTGCTTATAGATGATAAATTTCATTCAACTCAGCTCAGAATTGCTTTAGAATGCCTTCAATAATTTGAAAATAAATACTCCTGTAAATAAAATGACTTCTAAAAGAAATCTCTACGCGCTCATTTGAATTAAACAGAAGTTGTCTTAAATGCATGTTTACTGTCGGCTGCTTGTTTTCAGATGGTTTGCCATTTGTACTTGTTAATGTTTATTTAAGGTATTAAAAATTGTGTAAATTGATAAAAAAGAGTTTTGAAAATGTATAAGAACATTTTAGAAATAATTCATAAAGATAAATTATTAGAAAAAAGTTGCTACTAAATCAGGGGGAGGAAAGAAAAACCTAGAAGGATTCTATAATCAGATTGTTCGGGAAGTTTTGTTAGGTTCATGCTTTACAGAAACTGTAACTGGAGATCACAGAAAATATATTGGGTGTAGTTTATATTAAAAAAAGATGAAAATTACAATCTTTGACCCCCACATTCAATCTGGTTCCACATTAAAAACTAGTAAATTAATACATATTTATGTTTTAAGATACAATAATGTATTAGATATGTATCATTCTCTGCAAATTAAATGACTGCTTACTGGTACCAATCATGTTGGAGTTCATTAAATTTATCAGCCGACTTTAAAAAATGCTATAAAAATAAAAATTCTAGCATTTTAAGCCACATCAACATAAGCAACAAAATTGAAAGGAGTAAGAAAAAAAGAAAATGACAGGCCAGGCGCGGTGACTCACACCTGTAATCCCAGCACTTTGGGAGGTCGAGGCAGGCAGATCATGAGGTCAGGAGATTGAGACCATCCTGGCTAACACAGTGAAACCCGTCTCTACTAAAAATACAAAAAATTAGCCAGACGTGGCAGCGCGCGCCTGTAGTCCCAGCTACTCCGGAGGCTGAGCCAGGAGGATGGCGGGAACCCAGGAGGCGGAGCTTGCAGTGAGCCAAGATCGCGCCACTGCACCCCAGCCTGGGTAACAGAGTGAGGCTCCGTCTCAAAAAAAAAAAAAAAAAAAAAAAAGGAAATGACATTAAAAACAGTATTTACACCTTAATATTTGACAAAGAGACAGTATAGATTATTGCTTAAGACTAAGAGGTCTAAATCAGATTGTCAAAGTCTGAATTCCAACTCAGTTACTAACTGTGTCCCTAGGGAAGCTGCATACTAAGTCTCAATTTCTTCATTGATAAAATGCAGAAAGCAGTACTAACTCCCTAATGACACCCTTTCACTTTCTATTCGAATGAAGAGAAAAGTTAGAAGAGAAACTTTACTAAAGGTCTTTACCAAACAGCTTTAAAATTCAAGGAAAAATATTTCCCCTCAATTATTCCAATTGGAGTTAGAAAAAGAATAAAACGCCATCTACTGTTCAACTTTATGAACTGCAATATGCTTGCTTGTATAACTGTCTAGCCTTTTTTAAAAAATGATTTCCACCATGAAATTCTGATATTGTCTTTAACATACTGAGGATGTCTGCATTAAAGAAAATCATTTTAAATATGAAGATATTACTTTATTAGCGTCGTAATCTTCCTTTCTCCAGTTATTTGTTTGCCAATTCTCTGTACTTTCTACACCTAGCTCTTTTTAGCTACTGGAAATACCAAGAAAAACTGAAACAAATTTTGAATGTTCATAGGAAGCCTCTGTCATTAAAATGAAAAGAAAGATAACCAAGCCAGGATTGCAAATCTCTCTCTTCTTTTCCTATTCCCAATGACGACGGTTTCACAGTAAGTTAGTCAACTACTTACTGGATTTATTCCTACTTTTGTTATTAAGTTTCTTTTAAAAACAAAAACACATATTTGAGGTGAATCTGAGTATTTTAATTACATAAGGAACGACGAAAACTAAGATTATACTTAGAGATTTAATTGTGATTCTCTTTTTCTCCCTGGCCCTAAAGGCCACTTACTTATATGACTGAAATGGAGTGTGTACCTCTTTTTGAAGAAGTGGATATAGTGGGGTGGGGCAGATGGGGAAGGGCTGTCTACAGAATATTATGGTTTTCAGGTTTCAACGACTTCAACACTATCTCCTGACCAGATTATTCAAAAAGTTAGCAACAAAAAGGGTGCTAAGCAAACTCATTCACTCAGTTCTTCCCATACATATTCAGGTTTACATATAAATGCAGATGTACCCGTGAAGTCACATTTTAGGAAGAGAATTTTGAAAAATCTAGCTCTGCATGTGTTAACTGCATATGCAAGATGAATGAGAAACCAGAACATAAACACAGTGAATGAATGTTTAAATGAGGTCATCTGTGCAGGATCACACTTCAAAATGTGTAATCATGGAAAACAAACACATCTGAAAAATATGTCAGATTTG